GAAACCGAGAATTAAGGAACACGTGTGGTCATAAATGAGCAAAGTGGCCAAAATTCCTTCACTGAACAGGCAGATAAAAACCTCCAGACAAGAAGTCAGGTCCAGAATTATGTTAAGTCCAGCAACAAATGTAATAAGGAAACTCTTAAAGGTGGAAGCTGTTCATGCGGGCCACTGTATCACATGTAAGCTTTTAGCTGACTTTTTTTTTTTAGAATAAATCTCATGAGTTTGTTGTTTGACTTTCTGTAGCCTCTTGTGAACTAAGATCATAAAAGACCCAACCTTTGAATATGACTTCAGGAAGAATGTTCCTATAGACTGAAAAAAAAAAAAAAAAGGAAAACAAAACAAGCCCTCAGGAGTTTCCTTTCAGCTAAACCAAGTTTCCAAACCGCAAACAGTTTGGTGGTTTAGTCTGACAAATGTTCTGGTAAAAGAAAGACACAGTGCTGCTTTTGGACAGACTCAATAGAAAATACAGCAGAGGTCCCATCTCCTGCCTTCCCATAAAACTCTTGCAGTTAATGCACACACACACACACACACACACAGAGAGAGAGAGAGAGACACACACCACGGAGATGACATCACTGCAGTAGTACGGGTACCTTCCAACCTCTTTCACTCATTCAAATTTCAGGCTCTGTTAAGAAAATCCCATTATTTCTATAAGAATATGAGCTGCAGCTGCCCCATAAAAGATAACATCAGCCATAAGTTGGCCGGCTCAGTTGAAACAAATTAGTTTCTATTGAAAAATGTGTCCTTTTGGCTCTGGGACAAATGAACAAAGCGCTGTGTGTTGTGCCCACAGAGCTGCAGCACAAAGCAGCGACTGCACTTTCCTGCTTGATCTCAAGCCAAACAAAAAAGTGGACTCCTTTCTGTCATGACCTCATGCTCATATACTTAACCAACTACTGAACAGATCCCGCCTATCCGACACCACATTCCAGCACAGAAATTTTCTTTTTCATAAAACAAACTCCTCATCTATCAGGACAAGTAGTGGTAGAAGCAGTCCTCACGTCTTTTTATCAGGTAAAAGTAGAAATACAACAATGTACAAATACTCCATACAGCTTAAAGTCAGTTAAAAGTGTAAAAAGCAAAAATGTAGTTTACGTTAAAGTAATTGTTTTAAAGAAAAAGAGCCTGTGTGACTGATATATTATATATTACAGACAACATTCATTGACTGTGATATATAATATTATCATATTATATGAAAAATTCACACGTTTTGTTTATAAAGTCTGTAAAGTAGCCAGTAGCTGAATAAAATGGAATTACTCAGTTACTTTAAGCACATTTCTAAGTAGCAAATTTACTGTTGTAGCTGGTCGAGTTGAAGTTTTAACTACTTTATTTACAGCTGTTTACAGTACGATAGTCCGCTGTCTGGAGTTGGATCCCCTCCAAAGGGGCACAAGATAAATCCCAAGGGTTGCGAGATGATTAATGGGGCAGGAAGGAAGGAAAAACAAAGTTCTGTTACACAAAAGTGTATCAATGCTTTTGACTAGTCTCTTATTATTTGCTTGTTTTGTGAAATATTGGTTATTTTTACCTCTTTGGTTGTAGTTAAATGAACGTATCTGAGAGGTTTAGAGGGGGAATCACTCATTTTGTGAAACTGCTAACAACTCATAGACATCTGAAAAGTGACGAGGGGCCCTATATCTGTTGTTTTTATAAGGGGTCACAAGCCAAAAAGGTCGGAAACCAGTGGTTTACTCGATTACAATGTATGTACATCTTGTTATATGTGTTTTATGTAAACTCCTAATCTGAAAAGTATCTAGTGAGCTATAAAATAAATATAGTGAAGTAAAAAAAGTACAATATTTATGTTAGAAATGTGTTGAACAAGTACTTCAAAACTGTATTTAAGTAAAGTACTTGAGTAGATGTACTTAACTACTTTTCACAACTGCAGAACACAACAGAAATTTACTCCTTTATTCTCTTTTGTCACCCATAAAATATAACAGATGGACAGTAATGTGTATTATCCAGTATGAGACAACCTATTTAACATATTTGTTGCCTTTGGGACTCATTTTGACAGAAGCATTCCCCCTAAGAGCTATCTGTCAGTTCTGGTGGCTTGTTAAATCAGGTCATGTTTCTGTTCTAAGGTTAAGATCACACAAATGATTGAAAAGGTTTTTGCTGGAGAGATCTGCCACAGGCCGATTCTTCCAGACTGCATCCCTCGCTGCCAGTTGTCCTGCCTCCAACCTCTCTGGCAAGCTGCAAATCCTTTTCAAATAGTTACGGCCCCAAAAACTCTTACAGGGACCTCTTGTAAGGAGAAAATTTGCATGAAATTTGGCTTATTTATGTGCCAAACAACTATGCCGTGCAGAGTATTTTGTTTCACTTTGTGCAACTTTGAGAAGGAAAATAAATTAGGTGTATAGATAAACATGCCAAATATGTAAAACCTGTAGATGAAGCAGGAGATGGATTGTTTTCTCTGCGTGCTTTAATGACCGTGTAAAACAATAATCATCATGTTGCCAAAAGTAATTGTTGCACACAGTTAACACGAAGAGTATAAGTGTGTCAGGCTGATGCATAATTAAATATTTTACACATTTTACGACACTGAAACGCAGCCAGACATCAGGTTTATTGTACAAAGACCTCAATGAAGACCAGATTGACTGAAAAAATAGCCCGGGAGCGAGGCAGATAAATATCAGTCAGACTGTGGACAGAATCCAGCACAGGGGTCAGAGATCAATGTCTGATGTGGTTTACTGGTGGACAGTATGAATAATAAGAACAGATCGGGATAATGCACGATAATGTCAACAGTTAATTAGGTCACCAGAGCTTTGTGTTATGGGAATATTATTATTATATTAATATCATTAACTCATGTAAGGGCTCTGCAGAGCATTTAAGCTTTGACCGCTGCATTGTCCGATTGGTGAAGATGTAAAATGTGTGTGTTGAGCTCTCAGGCTTCACTCAAACCAATAAACAGGTCATAGAATAGATGATTTTCTCAATCCTGGTGTTCTGGTTTCTTGATTTTGAACTGAAGTTCGATACAGAAAGTGACTCTTCAGTTTTGTAAGAGTTTGTTGATAAGAGATCTGAAAGGAAGCAACTTTTGATGTCTAATTAACCCTAAAACGAGTCTGTGAATTCATTTTTGGCAAACAAACATAGCCGTAACATATGAAATGTATCCTAACGTGATGCATTACAGACCTTTTTCCTCGGGGTGGCCAGTACTCACCGTTGAGTGGCACATTAATGTGTATGTTCAGGTTTTTCTGCATGGCACGGTTAGATTATGATGTTTGCTTATGACCAAACTGTGTGTATCTAAAATAAGCCCCTGATAGTCTTGTGGATGTGCCAGCAAGAAGAAAGAAACATTTTATTTATCCTCAACATCCACTTTAACTACTTTTGTAGCTTGTCCCTGAATTTCTGATGCCTGGAGTTTGGTTCTTCTGTTTCTGTTCTCGACTTTCATCACTGTTTATTACCAAAATCTGCTTCGCATTCATTTTCTGTGCTGAACAAAAACTCGGCAAAACTCAGCAACAGCCTGTGTTTGATCTCCCCTCAGACTTCAGCAGCGAGTGAGTTGAATGCAGATTGGGTTGGGGAGGCGCACTACTAATGTCCCCAGTGAAGCTGCAGCAGTAGTGAAATGGTTCAGCACAAGAAAACAAACTACCCAAAATATGGTGCTATGTGAGCAAATGGGGTAACCAAACTTTTGCCACCCCAATGATATGATGTTGCTTTACTGGCATTTCTGATTGTCTTACCTTCAGTGCACATGGCAGAGGGTAAGACCACTTTACTTTTCAACAGACTAGGTGTTGATAACCTCAGAAGAAGCCCAAAAATATAAAATGGCTAAAGGAAATAGGGCAAAACATTAGACTGAGGTGCAGGATTTCTGGAAAATATGCTTATTCACTTTCTTGCTGAGAATTAGATGAGAAGTCTGATGCCACTCTCATGACTGTAAGGTAACTATAATGCCACAATAGCTTAATGTTAGCTGGAAACAGCAAGCCTGGCTCTGCTAACCAACAAATCTAAACCTCATTAACACGTTAACCTTGTTTGTTTAATCTGCACAAAAAAACAAAACTAAAAAAAGTTACTGTTTTATAGGATTTGTGCCAGACTCTTTCTTGGCCGGGTGCAGCGAATTCCTGGGGTTTTTGCTGGTCACCTGGCAACCATTAAGGTCAAAAACAAAAATGTCTACCTCTTTGACCTCTTCTTCAGGTGAGCAGCGACCCTCAAGACCTCTTATAATTTTAATCTCCTCAGTATTTCGAAACATTCCTCAGCGATTTACCTTGGAAATGGATTATTTCCCCACAGAATGTAGAAATGTAAATTAATATTGGTTGGTTTCCACCATTGAGTTTCGCAGCTGTGTCTTGCTGCGGCCAAACCAAACAGCTGAGGAGCTACCGGGCCCAGGTGCACACCGGGGGGTTCCTGACACAACCTCCGCTCTGCTGCCTCCGGCCACGAGGTGCAGACAGAAACACTGTCTGGTTGTTACTGATACAATAACACAGGATGAATCACCAGGATTTTTTATTTTACTCACACCACAACTGCAAAAAAGAAAGAAAAAGAAATCCAAGGGGGTAATTAATTTCCTTGCAGCTATATATTTTAACACTCTTATCCCACTGCAAATTGTGGTACTGCTAAATAAATTAAAGCGGTAGCAGCTAACAAGCCAACACGGCTTTAGATGTCAGTGGCAGCAAGTCAGGCTGTGATGAGAGAAGTAAGAGTAGAGGGCGGTGTCTCTGAACAGCCTGTACTTTTCTTTCTGCGATGGTGGGGGCGATGTGCTGTCTTTACAATGTTTTTCCCTCTGGTAATCAGTCTGACAAGCTTTTGATAATGAAAACATGTGATTTCATATATTTACATACAAATGTGTACTTTGTAGCCTAATGCATAACAGGAAATGACGTCACACGGTTAGGTAGGGGCTTTATTCATTTAATTTATTAAGATGCTACATAGTCCAACCAGGTTGGATTGTTTTTATACACCAGAGAGACTACTTGACTAGGAATATTAATCTTCTTCTCAGATAGACTTATTTATTTATTTATATACATACAAAACAGTTTCCCGACTGCTTACATTGATCATGGTGATGGTCAGAGACTCCAGAACAGGTCAGTGTAGTGTGTTTAACAACCCAGGCCTGGATCAATTAGTATTTACATGTAATTGTCATTGTTTTGTTTAATCCTACTTGGAGTACCACACTGGTGGGGTACACAGGGGTACGTTTTTCTCATAATCACAATAACAGTATATTATCTTGTCTTGTGTAAAATGTTTGCATACTCCAAACAGGATTCACTGAACAAAAAGAATTTCCTGCAAGTACTACGTGACCCAGGTCTTGATAACCCAAGATTGGACTGTAAGCTCAAGCCTGCTCTGCCCTCCCTTCTAAGCAGCAAGTCATCCTCAACCCAACAACTTTACAGAGATACAGCGGAAACACAAGCTTATGTTTATCTTAACCTCTTCCCCACCTGTCAGATCCATTGTCTTCCACTCCACCTAACATAAAAAGATGGGGGGATTGTGATTTTTCGTTCAGTTTAGCAAAGGGGAATACTCTCTATATGTGGATACAGTGGGATAGAAATATGACCGACTGCTCTTTTCTGTCAAATATTGCAAAACAGAATGACGCTCTCCACTGCTGTTTTTTTTTTTTCCTTCCTCATGCAAATTTTGGGAAAAAACAGTTTGTAGTAGTTTTTTTTTTGGTTTATTTCTGACAAAAAAAGAACCATCATCTCTGGAACAGTACAATGTCATCGTGTGGTCCCCGCAAGGCTAGACTGTATGTATTATTATTTATTTATTTACCCCCTCTGGCTAGAGAAAAAAAAAAAAGGTTGTTTGCTGCAGGAAGATCAAAGGAGAGACACTCTTAATCTTAGTGCATTTAAAATGAACACGACTTCAAATGCGGTGAGGATATAACATTAATAAGCAACGGATAAATGCTGAACAAACACCAAAAAACTGAACACAGGCCTGCAGTGGAGTGAAAAAAAAGACAGGAAAAAAAACCAGCAAATCACCAGCAGTGGAGAGCAAGCAGCTTAAAACACTCATTTGCCCCAAAACAACACAGAATGTCAACAAATGTATGGCTCAGTAGGAAAATATGAGAAAACAAAAAAGAGCTGGAAAAGACCAAGGTCCTTTTGTTAGGACACTGTAACAGGACCTTGGTGTTATTGATGTAAAGGAAACACATATCCATTGCCTCTATATGCGCCTTCTGTCCACTTGTGGTTTCTCACTATATGTATGCATGCTTTCTGTGTGTGTGTGTGTGTGTGTGTGTGTGTGTGTGTGTGTGTGTGTGTGTGTGTGTATGTGTGTGTGTGTGTGTATATATATATATATATATATATGTCAATGTACTGTATATATACCTCCATCTTGGCCTGAGAATAACTTGCCACAACAGGTCACAAGGCAAGACTTTCATCTGGAGAACATTTATAGAAATGATCTAATCCTACAAATCTGGAGCCCATTTCTGGTAGCTGCGATATTCCTAAATGCTTCAACCCTTCCAAACAAAATAATTACTTAAAATCATAAAAATGCAACAAAACACAAAAGAGAAAAGAAATAAAATCAGAAAAATTTAGTTGTGCAAACCTACAGCCAAATAACATATTATTATCACCGTTATAAAAGCAATTAAATTAGATTCAAAAGTCCAGATGCAACACTCTGTGAACGCATGCAATCAAACATCCCCCTCTGACAACTGGGGATGTGGTGAGCACTGAGTGACAGGTGACGGGAGTAAGGGTAGTGAGAAAAATAAAAAGTATATTATATGGTATAGTGTTTCATACACTGATCAAGGTTCCTCTACAATCAAAGACAAGCCGATTTTACAAAGCCTCTGACTGGAGGAGTCAGTTTGATAGCCCTGTGTGTATAACCCCAGCTGCGTGGATCATCTCTCTGGTAAATCCCTTCCTTAAAGGGGGTTTAGCTGGAAGGAACACCTGGATATACTGTACAGTGGGGGGGATTACATATACATATACATAGGCTCTGGCCTCCATCATTTAGAAAAAGAAACAACAATACACTAAAATGACATTCGCACAATTTCAAACTGACTCAATCGCACCAACACTAGCTCGCCGGTGTTAGAAAGTCCATTGGTCTGAATCACTAGCATTAAATCATGTTTCCATTACCCCCCCCAACCCACAGAACCAGTCATCTGTATACATGAAACTTTGGGAAGAGGGCCAGATGATTATGTGATGATTACGTAGAGGCAAGACCTGTAACAGTAGGTTTGTTCATAAGATGGTGAATAGTTTTTTCTTCTTTTTTTTTTATCCTCATACAATACTTTTGAAATTTTTTACATAAATGAGACTGAATCAAAACTAGTACCACCCCCCACCCAGTGGATATGGCATTTCTGATCCAAAATCCCAGATCCCGTGTTTGTTTTCATCCCCCTGAAAGCATGCTGCGGCCGACCGAACTGCGCTGCCGTCTACAACACCAACTTGCCCACGATGACGCCCACCAGAAAGAAGAGCACGATGATGGCCACCGTGCGGGCGCTCAACCCCTCCTCTTTCTTTATGCCAACTGAGGAGTGCTGAGATGACATCATGTTACTCTTCCTCATCCGCAGACCGTCGTCCTCCTGGGATGGAGGGGGGAGAAAAAAAGAAAGTGTGTGAAAAGGTGTGAGGAGAGTGAAAGAAATAATTGAGAAATGATGAAACAAAGAAAGTGCGTGGGAATAGGATGGGTGGTGGTCGTGGAGGTGGTCGTGGTGGTGGTGGTGGTGGCGGGAGAGTGAAATAAAGAAAGGGAATGTAGAAGTGGAAAAGAGACGGTCAGTTCGTCAGTCAGTCAATAAGATAAGACAGTATTTGTTTACTAGCTCAAAGAAATAAGATCTGCTTAAATCTTCATCTCACCCAATCCCCCCGAGGACTGCAGAAGGCGCCAGGCTTTAACACACTTCATTTCCCAGCAGCGGGTGGGGGGGCTCTCTGTTAGTTTAATCTCAGCCGCAGGAGCAGCCAACAGTCGTTCTGCCTCTGGCAAGAACTTAAAGAGGAGGAGGTGATGGTGGTGTTTGAGGGGAGGACAACTTTCTCTTAGCTGTCTGTGGTGTGTGTGTGTGTGTGTGTGTGTGTGTGTGTGTGTGTGTGTGTGACTCACTTCCAACCAAACCTCAACAAAACCCAGTTTTAAACCTCACTTCACTGATTTCATTGATCGTTGTGATTGATGTCACTGATTTGCAAAACTGCGTTTGAGCTTCAAACCCTGAGGTCTGCTACTGATTATGGACACGAGCAGTTAACCTCAATCTTGACTCTCAGTTCAAATAAAGCAAAGGGTGGAGGACGCCGCAACGTCCTTTGCTAATCAGTTTCCACTTAATTTGCTTATCTTGATTGTGAATATCAATCAATGCAAAACCAAACAAAAACCCCCCCAAAAGACAAGCTCAGTGATTTCATCTGTTCATTTTGATGACTGAGATGAGGGAAGGTTTTTCGCTGCTCATTCAGAGGAATAAAACTTTCTCTCTGTCTTTGATTTAAACCAGAAGGTAGTCTGATTGTTTGGACTGTAGCGTGCTAAAGAGTTAACGTACGGAAAACATATTAGAGGTGAAACGATCAGTGTTTCTCACACTTTTTACACCGCGTACCACCTCAGAAAATATTAAGCTCTCCTAGTACGACCGTTATGATTCAACTATGTTTTATGAAATATGCTATTAAGCAAAGGCTCTAGAAATTAATCCAAACAGCAAGTTAAATTTAGTTTGATTATCAGTTCACCAGGAAACGTTTTAGCCAACAGAGTCTGCATCCATTTGAAGATCGTTTAAAGTTTGTATTGAACAGTTGTACTCTACCTATGAGGCCAGTCATACCTATGTCTTTACTCTCTTGGGGAAAAAAACAACTGACTGTGGTCCTTGAGTCATCTCACTCACCCTGATCTGTTTGTTTTCTTCCCGTAGCCTCTGAGCTTCCATCTGCAGCCTCTTACACTCCTCCATGATCTTCTTTACCTCGCCGTCGTCGAGGGTGGAGCTCATTGACTTTGGAGGCAGCGTGGAGGAATCTGACTTCAGCAAGCTGGACGACATCATCTTGTTGGACTCCATGTCATGCTGTAAGTAGGTTACAGGGTGACACGTTATAACGCAATAAACTGTCTGTTGCTGCTACAATGTTTCCATGGCGATTCTGACCGATGACTTGGCACACGGGGGCAATTTTATATTTGTATTTGGAGACTTGCAGGACTTTTATGTACAGTATGTATGCGCACACACAGGCGTGCAGGAAGACAGAGCCTCTATCTCTAAGTTTGTGGGAGAGTTCACCCAGGGGTGCCTTTCATTCAAGTGGATCAAGCTGGTTTCCATCAGCATTATCTCTAACGGACTCTGTGGTGCACAGTGCTGACTGGGAGCCGTGTGTATGTATCGCACAGCTCATAATGAATTGAAAACAACTACGACGGGTTTCTTTCCCTCCTCGTGGTCATGAAGCGAGAAGACTCGGCCCATACCATGACGAGATAACGTCTCTACAGCTGTGTGGGGTCTGAGAAGAATCACAACAATAATATACTGCATGTGAGAATGAACAAAGTGGTCCTCTGAAGGGCAGCTGATGCCTGGGAGTGTGGCTGAGGCAGGGAGGGAGAGGTGGACGTGGAGGAAAAGAGGGACAAGATGGAGAAAGGGATGAAGAAGATTAATGCTAAAAATTTAGAGACGGCATAGAGAAGAGTGTTAATGAGAAAGAAGCTGCGACAGTATTGGAGTGCAAACAAGAGGAGAGATGACGACTGAGATGGGACAGGTGAGAAAAATAGATGATGTGTGGTGCTGGACGACAACAATAAACATCATCTATAAATAATGCAGCCACTCCTTAACACAAATATTAACAAACACATGTACTGCACACAAAGAAGCAATAAAAAAGGCATGCATCTGTTATGTTTGGAGCTGCGTGATAGATAATAAATGACATACCAAAAATTAAAAATACATCGTAGCGCCCTGCTGTGGCCTGTGATTTTAAAAATAATGGCAGGAAGCACTGAGACGTGTCCCTCCCTGGAGTTTCTTTGATATCAAATCTGTAGTGACAACAAAAACTGACGGGGGGGGGGCAATGTGCATGTGCTTACCGATTTCTCGTTCTCCACTGGCATCTCAAAAACACACCTCAGCTTGGAGTCCATCAGCTCATCTGGCTTTGCCTCCTTCCACTGGAGGTACCAAAAATGAAGAAAAAAAGACGATCAACACATTTTTACTTTATTAACATTTGTCTATGTCTATTTCTATGTTACATTTCCATACCATGTCAGATCGATTGGCTTCTAAGCTGGTATATGCAGAGGAACAAGTATGTTAAGAATAAAGACAACAGGAAGGATTAAGTATGTCAGAACAACAGCAACAAAGGGAGTCTAAGGAGATGGCTGGCTGCTGATAATGGCTCTTCAGAGGGCAGAAAGCTCAGATAAACCTTGTGCTGTCAGAGGGTCTGAGGCTGAGGCCACTGAGCAGAAACACCAGAGATGAGGGATAACATCGTCCATGTTTTGTGCTTCACTCTTAATTAGTAAGATTAGGGTGTTTTTAATGTTGTTTCTTTTTTTCCAAGTACAATCCTTTGAGTATTAGTTGATTTAGAGATTTAAATAATAGTTTTTCGCACAGTCTGGCGCCAATAAACACAACATTTTATTTATTATTTAATGTCCAACATTTTTCTCTCCAAGAGCACAAAGATAAAGGCATTTATAACTGAACTTGTTATTTTTTATGTATTCTGCCAGCACCACACCAATTATTTTCTTAGTTTAAGAAAACCATTAATTTAGATTCTGGACATATTGTAGGTTGAGTTTGACAAACACCTTTTAGATTTTTAGATAACCCACTTCATCTCTTCAACACTAAAGCATGTAAAACACCTCACAGTTTAACATTTTATATGTCTATGAAAGTGTATTCTTATTAAGTTTTCTGTACAGTTAGAGACATTTAAAGGTAAATTGTAGATTCTGATTATTTTCAGAATGTATACGTTGTATGTTCAGTAATTTTTGTTTTCAATATATCATCAAAAGTGGGGAAATCATTTACATGTGCATAGTTTTTAAAGTCTCCTGTGGTTCCAATTGGGTGTCAGCAGCTCAGTGTTTAGAGATAATAAAACACTGAAGCTTTCAGTACCATGGTTGGAAACTATGAAAATAGTAAAATATTTTGCAGTAAGTTACAAAATATTGTTGAAGAATTTTGAAACTGACAGGTCTGACGATGTATCTGTGAGTACCGTTCTCCCTTTGCAAACACTCATTCAGGCTGTGGCAGTATTAGTGAACTTGCATGTTTAACATTGTCATCAACAGCTGGACTGTTATCAGAGAAATCTGCTCTGTCTATTGTTCCCTGACTCCACATCTCGTGTGAAACAACAATGGAGAGAGATTTACCACCAGGAGGACTGCAGTCTATCTGTGCTGTGCTCTTACTACAACCCCACCTCAAAAATCTGCTTTCAAGTCAAACTTCTGTAACAGTCACAGGGTTGCACAATAACCCACCAGGATGCAGGCTCTACCTCAGTGCAGTGTCCCTTTTTGTAACCGTCACTCAGGTTGATTGTGTGTGTGTGTGTGTGTGTGTGTGTGTGTGTGTGTGTGGGGTGTGTGTGTGTGTGTGTGTGTGTGTGTGTGTGTGTGTGTGTGTTCCAGTGTGATCATCATCATACCCAATTCTAAAAACATTTTTTGGCATGTTAAGGATGATTTACTGTAAGGATGTTGGCCAGTGATCATAAAGATGACTTTGAGACCACACACACACACACACACACACACACCGTTACGACTGAACTGTGCTCATTGTGTTTTTTATTGCTGTGTGTCAGCACTGCGACACAGCCTCTCATCCAGACTGGGAGTAGCAGATCCACTGCCTCTTTCCATACAGTTAACTGGATGTATTTCCTGTCCTACAGTATTAAAGGCACAATAGATAACAGTGTATGAGCGACTGTATTACATCTGCGTGCAGAGAATTCATGTTTTTAAAGAATGTGGCAGCTAAAACATTCAGTGAGAGATGATTTCAGGAAGGAGATACACTCACCACTCCCTCCATGTCGGTCATGTCAGGAGGTGCTAACATGGATTGGACCATAAACTTGTGTTTGCTCTTCTCGTTGGGATCGTAGTCAAAAGGCTGCAGCATAACTGAAATACAAAATGACAGTCAAGCGTCAGCATGGGAAGGAAAACATAAGGTAAAGATTTCAGGATGTTTTCTCTCACCCTCTCTGAAAAGAAATGTCAAAACAGTATCTTCAAATCACAGCAAAACTGTGAGGGGATCCAACAATAAGAATTGGCCGATGGCCCGTGGCCAGTAACAAGTTAAGTTGGGCCAGTAAATACAATTATCCAGCTACCTGATCAGGCCAGTGCTTGAAAAAGTAAACAAATAAATGCATTGAATTAAAGGATTTTCCAGACATTGATTGGTGAGGGACGTTACTACGTCTTTGCTCTAGTCTTTGCTCCCCTCTGCCCGTGTCTATCGTTCCGGGAATGTGAGTATAGCACACCGAGCGAAAACAGACACAGCGAGGCTTGTTTGCTTAATAAGATGCAATGGGGATCAATCCTAAAACAACATAAACATTGAAACGCTAAAAGAGCACTGCAACGAGAAAAACATACGACTGGGTTGGCGACTCAATACATAGCTACAGATGTTCTGTTGGGGTTCATATAAGTACCCAACAAAGTCTGATGAGCCAGGACAGACATTATTATTATTGGAAACAGTTGCTTGAAAGCCAAAAGAACAGCAGAAGAGAATTTGATATAAAACTTTAATCAGGGCCAGTAGATTCTCGACCCATTTGCCCAACCGGGTCAGTGACAACATTGTTTATTGTTGGACCACATGTAAGTGCTGTAGGATTATTAAAATGACTCAGGACAGGCTTATATTAAATGTGGAAATTTAATTACCACTGACTTTATAGCATTTATTTCCCTTTTTTTAGACCCCAGCTCAGGAAAATGTGTCAGAAAAAGTGTCTTGTTAAATCCTTCAATCCTTTGCAGCAGGAAACATGATTTGTGGGTAAAAACTGCCACCCCAAATACAAAAACAAACAATTACGGTAATTACGCAACTTTCCATCTCTCCCGCTCTCAACTCTTTGTCCATTCCTTGGATATAAAGAGGAATTATTAAGTATCAAATACCCATGTATTTGTCAAACGGTTAACTAAGGCCTCCACGTCTTCAAGGCTCTGGGCTTGCCCCTGCTGCTCGGAAAAAGTGGTGGAGATGATTTATTTCTAAGTTTGTGTTACCATGACAGCGAAACAGTGACGTATCTCCAAATACCCCAGGGGGTAATCTTTCTAACAGCTTCCAACCCTGTCGTTTTCTTTCTTAACATTACATATTGCTCTAACAAAAAGCAGGTGTGGAGATGGAATACTACTTTAACCCATCACCACATCAGTGCTCTCAGTCAGTGGTGTATTATTTGAAGTCATTCCAGTGACTGAGAAGGTATTTTAAAGCTGTAACAATGATTTACAATGATCACTTTCTTATGTTAGTATTCAAGTGCAGAGGGGATGAAAGTGGCTATTGATTGGTGATCTTTTTCTCCTTTGCCGTCGGTTTTTAAATACGGGTGTAATTGAAAGGCGTATTTTGACATCAGTACCAACTATGTCTATAATGCTGGCGTGATTCTTTGGCTTTTCACTAGAAAGGGGAATGACCTCCTAATTTCAAAGCCGGTGTAGCTATCAGGATGGTTTTCATATATGGCACATGCCAATTCTCCCTAGAGTGGAAAACCTCAGAGATGTAGTGCACCATTACAGCAATCAGGGCAGTTCAATATCGCAAACCAGAAACAGACGGCATGAACAGATTGAGAACGTCCTGTTTGAGTCAGACCTAATTTGCACGGCCATCTACCTTAAGTCCAAGGGGACAATAAGAGAGAATGGAGGCAGGAAAGCATGTAAGTTCTTTGAGCAACAGTGAATAACATGAAAAAGGTCCTGAGCCAAAGCCTGAGATGGAAAAACCTCACAGTAGGGGGAAAAAGTGATTTAAATCATCTTTGATCTACAGTCTTTGAACACACCTTTACAAAGAGCTACTTCTGCTAATGGCATGATTTAGTATTCTTACTTCACACTGGGCAATCGTTTATAAATCTCACAGAGGGTAATTGTAGTCAACACGGTCAAGCAGGTTGGTAATCGCCTGCCTGCTTGTTGATGATGAATGGAACCATTAGAGGGGTGAGGGAGGGAGGCAAGAAAACTTTCCTTTCCTGTCACTAATTAGTTGTGTCCCGTGAGACGAGATGCTCACAAGCTCACTAACTATTTACCTTGAAGTGCTTACAGAGGTCCACCCATGGTTCCTGTTCCTTCGTAATGACCATACATGCAGATTATAATTATTACAGGGCGTGCACAAGCTTCTCTACTGTAGGGTTGGAACTTAAGATCAGTTTCATTATCAATTAATTAAAAAAATAAATCAGGTGTTTTCTTGATTATAATCAGAAAATAGTAAAAAATGTGTCTACAAATGTCTTTTTTCTGACAGTGAAGCAGAAAATTAAAAATCCATAGATAATCCATTTGTAATGATAAACAGAGAGAAGCGGCAAATCGTATCACATTTTCTGCTTGAAAGATCACCTAAATGCAAATTAGTTATCTGTCAATCGACTAACTGATTAATTGATTAATAAACTAATTGTTTAAACTCTTCTCTACAGCTTTGGGTGTAATAATTGAGAATATTCATGGCTCAATTCCACACAAAACCATGAAGAAAAACATGATGTGATATATCCTCAATACAGGAAAAATAACCTGACAATGTGCTATTATATATTTTACATTTTCAGAGTGTTACATCTCAATGTTTATCTTCAATAAAAGTGTAAAACTTGAGACATCCACATTTCCCTGACCCACTTAATGTGAATTCTCAGCAGCAGAGCAGAAAACAAAACATGTGTTTGACAATATGACAAAAATAAGGAAACAGCTGTTGTGCCATCAAAACAAAAGATAAACTCTAAACACAAGATATGAGGTGAATTCACTTTGAACATTACGACACGATGTGACACCGAACGAGATCCGATATGACACACGATACCATGCGGCTCATTGTTACACCCGTATCTCTAACAGTAACCTTTTCACACCGATTCAGAGCAGCCTCACTTGTAAAAAAGGGTGCTCCCTGTCCACTTTGTTCAGTATTACTCAACACAAAAACCTGGTCAAAGATCAGCAAGCCCTTTGAGACAATATAGCGTGGGAGTGTGGAAGAGAGTAAAGTCAACCAGAGTCATCGAGATTCAGGCCTGGAGGGAAAACGCTCCAGGATTTAACTCTCATAAAATGAATTCATATTCAGGCTTCTCAGGGTAGCAGGATCTCACACTTCTGATTGTGCTCTCCTGAGTCCATCTAATTCAATATAATTTAAAAGGAAAACAACATAAAATAATACTGACTACACACCAGCAAACCTATTTCAGGGTGGGAAATAACCCAGGAGTCAACAGCATTCAATCCACCACACTTCAGCTACCACTTAGAGGTTAAGTTCTGTTATTAGTTGGTGGGAAGAATAGCAAACGTGGCTTTTTAAATACTGATACAGGCCTTGTGTGTAGCATATTAGCATAAATGTTTAAAGAATATGGATGTCAGTTAAGACAGGAGAACCCCTTTCTTCTCCTGTCATCACGAAGGCACACCAGAAAATTGGCGTAAGGGAAATCAAATGAAGCTCATTCAAACAACTGCAACAAATTAATTTTTTTTTATTTTTTTTTATTGTGGTATGTTATTGTTGCTTTCTGCTTCCCCTTGGAATGCTAACATGTCCTGAGTATGTCAGACAAACTTCTGACATATTCCCAGAAGAAGCTCAATATTTGTGGACACAAGGATTTTATTTTTTTTATTTTTTTTAAACATTCACGCCACATATTTTTCCACTGGATGCTGCTACATTACACCAATCAACCTCAGCAACATTCCTGTGGTCATGGCTACATTGAACATATACAGTTACAGCTGGGTTGAGCTTCAAAAGCACTGTGTCTATCCTCAGCTAAGCCAGCGAGTGACACATCTCGAATATGTAGGTGTCCTGTGGCAGACAGCTCCCTTTCACCCTGATGCAAGTGGATGCCTATGTGTCTTTTTGTGCTGTTTTGTTAAAAATTACAGGCCAGAAATACGAGACAAAACTGGACTGCAACGAGTTACAGATCCTGTGTAATCTTCTAAGATGGAGGACCAAAACTCAATATTACAATATTTCAATATGGACAGTGTGATGTTGTTTTGGGAATCATTATCGGTGCTTTTAGAATATTTCACCCAGGAACAACCAAGCAGGTTATACCTGTGAAGTTTTGTTGTAAACAAACAAAAGTTATGTTAACATTCAGTATTACACAAAACACACTGTATAATCTATTATAAATTATATAAATTATATGATTCTGATAAATGATGAAACACGCATCCCATGCTGCAACCCTTATGATTTTTCTGCCGCCGGCTGTTCTCCTGGAGTTTTAAGTCCCCTGAATCCATTAATCCATGTGGTATTTTGCTTACGTGCCACACAGAACCCTCAATACCACACACACACACACACACACACACACACACACACACACACACACACACACACACACACACACACACACACACACACACACACACACACACACACACACACACACACACACACATTCCTGAGAAGATGTCTAATCAACCAAAAATATGTGAAATCACCTTTGTGAGATAAACATGGGTGTGCAGGGCTTTTAATAATAATAATAGTTTATCATTTGTAATTTAATGTGTGTTCAATGTAAAAGCATACAATGGCAGCAAGATAAGAATAACCCCTTCTTATGCTGTTATGTACACTCCTCCCTGAAGACAGATTGGACAGAAAGAGGTTACAGACCAGGCCATATGTTTGCCTATAGCGACTACATTCTAAGAAAAGCAATCTCCTTTTGGGACTCAAACCTGTGACCTTTCTCAGCCCAGCTCAAATGATGGCAGTGTCCTGGACTGTGTTGATTTGTCGCCCACTGCTGACTGCAGGCCCCAGTGACACAGTTTGCAGTCGTTGACACCAGATAGGGGAGGTTGTAAAATGAGTCTGTGGCTGTAAATGGCAGAGGTGGCACAGTGTGGAAACACTAGCCTGTACCTGTCTCCCTCAAAGCACACAACGGGGAATGAGGCCTGCTAGGAAGGACTGCCGCGAGAGGACGAGGGAATACGGGGTAATGAAAGAGGAGTAGCGTGTGTGTGCTTAGATAAAAAGGGCAAACCCATGATGATACCAGAGAAATTATCAAAATACAAATAAAAATAAAACAGTCAGTGATATTTAGATGGCTCTCATAAATCACTGCTGTAGAAATTAGGGCTACAAATAATTATAATTTGACAAACAACCTTGGGGTACACATACATAAACAGCACAACCACTTATATTTGAGAAGCTGTATACAAAGTATCCAAAGTACGTATCAAACTGTCACATATTTTTTGCTGGTAATCAGCTAATTGTTTCAGCTACATGTTAAACTAGTCTGGATGTAAATAAGTGAGTGAATAAAGTTACCTTCCAGGCAGCTTTAATAGCCTCTACTCAGTGCCAATTCCTCAATCATTACCTGAGACGTTGATTGAGGTGCCTGCATCGATGATTCCACTGTTTGGCCGCACACAGTACCGGCGCGGCGCTGTCGTCTTCACCTTGAAACACACATTCCTGTCTGTAGGGTTGGAGAGCTTGAGATTTGTGGTGACCACGTCTGAGAATGGACCTGTGAAGAAGGAAGATGCGGTGGACACTTAAAAACAAATAAAGTTCTCTTTGACAAGATATGCTTTTTACAAAAAATATACCATTTCCTTTTGACACTGAAAACTTACTTTAAACTGAGGTAAAAATAAAAAATGATCTTCAAAGACTTTTGAGGCAAAGATTAGAAAACTAAACAAGTCCAGAAAAATCACGGGAACATCAATTAAAACTGGACAGAGATCCATTTTAATTTTGATATTGGCCAAAGACGCTGTACAAGTTATGATCTCACTAACCACACATATTCCTTTCAGAATAATATTCGTCAGCTAGTTTGTTTGAAAGCCAAATGGTTGGAGAAAATGACACATGTACAGAGACTGATGGAGAATAAAAACTGCCACTGGCAAACAAACTCAAAGAAGCTCGTAATGTGTGTGAGCTGAGCTGTCAGACAGTGACGTATTCAAAGCAAATGAGTGTCTCTTAGTCAAAATACTTCAAAATGCTAATCCATTATCTACTGCTGCAGAAAAAGCACCAGTTTGAATAAAAAAAAAAAAACCACCCTAAAAACAGAAAAATAAAGAGGAAAGCTCAAGACACAGTTCTATGTATAAAACTTAAAAAATGATGTCTTTATGCTGACATATCAAGGAAAAAACTAGAGTGGGAGTTTCATTTGATTCAGTAAATGTGTGGAAATTGTAATATATGGTACCATTAAAACTGAAAAGACAATAGAGAACTAAAGTTCAGGAAATTTTGCCAAATATTTAACACTGACACACAAATTACACTGCAGAAACAGGCCAATTGTAGCCTTTTCAAACCATGGGAATGTTGAAATAAATGAGATGACTGAAACACCAGTGGGTAACGCCTATTAAAAATATGTGACATGTATGTAACAATATCTAAATGTTGTCCATCGTAGCCTAACTGGATGTGACTTTAATTATAAAAAAATCTATCTACTGCCCACAATTTGGACCTGTTGTCGCATATTTTCGTCCTTTGACCTGACAATTGTATAAACAAGAGTTTTACTGCCAGTGCAACTAATGCAGTTTTTTAATAAGTTTGACTGAAGGGTTTCCTCAACATAAATAACTCCAGTCTCACATTAAACCTCCCAAAAATACTGCGTGTCAGTATCACACCGTGGTGAGAAATGTAGACATGTCAAAGATGCAAACTAAGCTGTCAGTCTTTTCTTTTTCTTCTAACATTACTCTCCAGATTGATGTCGACTACTGATCTAGTCTGTCCTCTTTATTAACTGAATCAATTCTAATATCAATTAACCTAAATTCATAATTCAATTATGAATACATAAATAGAAAATAATTAATAAACCTATAAACCACAGGCTTCTACTACTGTACTACCATGATCAGAGTAGCTGACGCAGTTTGGCTTCGACTAATTACAGCGATCATTGTCGATGCAGGCCACATCTCTCCGAGGCTCTCACAAGGCCAGACGCATTAAGCTGCACAGATTTGTCAATAATGCAGAGAAAACCCTTACAGCAAAGAAAACCACAGCAAAAAAAAAAAAAAACACTGTGCCAACTCTAAAGGGCGAGCAAAGGTTAAGTAAGTTATCCATCTAGACTGTAGCACTAGATTGCAAGTGTTCTTTACAGGGTGAGACAAGTCACTAACTTCTTAATGTGAAAAGTATTTTGTTACTGTTCTGTCTCTTTTATGTATCAACTAACTAATTTTAATTCTTTCCCAAACCTTGGGGAAGGCTGTGTTGTGACACGTTTTCTTCTGGTCTTAACCTCATTAAAAAACAAAAAAACCTTGGTGGAAATTAGTGTCTAATAATTTCTGTTGGTTATGAAATTATATGGTGGTCAAGGCAATGGCTCAACCTTGAGTAATGTCTGAGGTTGAGGGAGTAAGGAGAAATGAGGACATGAAGAAGGTAAGAAGGGGGAAGGTAGAAAAGCGAGGGAATAACCAACAAGCTCACGTAGCTGTGTGAAATCACTGTTTGCTGTTTCAATAATTTTATAATTGTAAGAATTAAACCTAAATGGTCAATCACTCAGAGCACAAAATTAACTTTTTCAACCTTTAACTGCCCCAGACTTAACAACCTTTGTCCTGAATTAAAGTTTTATTTTTATTTTACACAACAATTATATTGAATAACTTTGTTTCAGTAACTTGCATCACCTCATTGACTCACGCTGAAGTTCTGCTAGTTGCTCTCTACACTTTTATCTGAATAAAAATCACCCTAGGTCTTTGGCCACAGTCAGTTTTTATTATTCTTTTAGTCACTGGTTGAGTTTCTTGTTTATTTCTAAGTGCAAATGCAGACCTGTTTCTAATTGGTATACAGCAATGAAAATGTACATACACTTATGTATGTAAGAACATAACTATTATTCAAACATTTTATATTTGAAGTAAAAAACTAACTGTACAAAACGTGAGAAAGAAGATCAAACCAGCTATTTAAATATTTACAAACTCAAACTATTTACATATAACCTATAGGCACACCTTAATCCAGAGAGAAGGTCAAACGTGCCCCACACACCACACCTACTGAGGATATTTTTCAAATTTAAACACCTAACTATTAAAATGATATACCTATCAAGGGGAGATAATAGCCAGCAGAGTTATCTGTGATCAGACAGAAAACTCGACTTTTCTAGAAATTTCTTTGAGTGACCTCTTTGATTATTGCTAATCAACTGTACACTATCATCACATAACCACAACAAATTATTTATTAAATGCATGTTTAAGAATCATGAGAAAATTACCAGGAAAAAGACTGTATAGCTAAATAGATAACAACATTATCCAAGCAGCCTAAACATCCTGTTACCATCTTCTAAATTGATAATACACAAGCTCAATCAATATTCTTGATTGGCGAACTTCTTTGTCATGAGTTAATAGCATTCCCTTAATTTCTTTATTTCCATATTGTTACAGTAATCTTGTCAAGAGAGGTGTCTTGATACAAAATATTAGTGAAAAACAATTTCAAAAAGAAGGTAATATAGACGCTATCATATTGGCCATTTAGCCTAAACACCAGGCTTGCAGCCTCTGGACTGAATGAACCAGTCCCATAATGCTTGTAATTAGTGGCAATTTTAAAGACTAACAATCAACCTGAAATGCCATTTCTCTTCACTTCATTATTCAGTCTCATATTGTGTTAATATTAGCCGTTTTCTGTTTGGGAGGGAGTGTTATTTTGCTCCAACTAATCAGCAGCAAATGATTTCGGGCACATTTTTTCTGCCACTGGCACAGAAAGGTGACGTCCCCGTTCTTAATCCCCAACAGAGATCTGACTGGCTCGGTTGTGTTTTTACAAATCTGGGAAAACAGCCGTCAATGAGCACAACACCAGACCTATTTGAGTTGAAAAAAATATAAGATGTGGGCACCAATTCAGAGGTCCAAAGGCACCAGACCGATTCATAAGTGTAGTTATTGCACTCACGTTCAATACAAGCCACAAAAGCAACACTTTGATTCAGCCTAAAATGACGAATGAAGTGATTGAATTTCCACTTTCGTGTAAGGTTTTTCATTTTAGTGGTAATGACATTAGCAGAAAAGTCAAATCTGTTGGACATGAGAGCTCTTGCATGAGTACAGTGAGAAAAGTACCAAAATGTGCAAATCTGGCTAATGCATTGACCCTGGAGAAACCCCTCTAATAATTCTTTGATATTATCGACACATTAAACATATATTTGGGGATGCACGCTCACTTGTATCCCCAGTTTAATTCCAACATATTCTCATTCTATGTGTTACCCAAGCACTCCCTCACAAAACCACAGTGTTACGTGTCACTAATTTATTCCTGTTATTTCTGGCAACAGTTTCTTTATTGACAGGACACTCCAGAAACTGCACAACCGAGATAGCTAACTGGCAACCCTTAGTCACTCCTGTGTTTTTCCAGTACCCCTATTGAGAGCAGAGCTAATTCATAGCGTAGTGAGGGGCAATGACGAATGAATGTGACTCCCCAAAGTTAACGGATACAGTGCCAATACCACACACTGTACATCAGTCAGACTTACGGAAACTAAGTTTCATTGTAGAACTTTACAGTATCGTTAATAACCGTATAAAACAAGCATTATTCAACAATTATTCTTTGCCTATGAAAGGGATTGATTCATTTCACACACATCATATTTAGTGACTCGCCACCAGACATCTATATTGGTTGATTTGGGTTTTGAAACATTGATGGTCTGGTGATGTTTTTTCAAGCCGCTGAGCCAGTGTAAATATTCTTAGGAAAGGCACAACTCATGACTTCTTAAAATTGTTGACAGCGAACCCAGTGTGTGTTGAACAACTTCCAGTTATCCAAATTACATTTTAACATGTGATTTTATGCTACCATTAAAACCAAACCCCCCAAACTCAGACAGGCCAGGTTTTCTAGTTTTCAAGTTTAGCTTTCTAATAAAACAACAAATAAGGACACATACAGTAGCAAACCGTTTGGTTGAGTGACCCAACCGTTGCAGTTGAGAGAGGCACACTTACTGTGCATGAAAACATGGAGCTATTTCAGAATTAGCACATACACCAGATTCAAGATAAAGTTTCAGCTCAGCAAACATCCAGAGCAACTGACACTTCCCTCCCCTTTGAGCAAAGACAGAGAGGAAATTCAGACCCTCACAAGCTTGGCCTGACTTCTAAAGGCTTTTAATGAAAAGGACTCACGCCACCGACTACTGTACACCTGATCTACTACTTCCTGAAAGTTTCTCGGGATTGAATCCAACTCACGAAAAACCACAAACTGCAGTTTAAAACTGTAATGAAGAGCTGATATTTGAAGCTGTCATCTTTCAAGGTTACATTTTTAGCAGATAAAAAGTTGGGAGCCGGGAGATTTTTCTAAAGCTTTGTTAATATTACCCCTGACAAAGTCCAGTCCCTAACACTTAAGAGTATTTGGCCCACGGTTGGTCTGAGCCTGGGGCTAACAAGTTTCTACAAAACAGACGTACATTATATTTCCTTAAGTTTCACACTGCATGCCTACGTATTACTTGGAGCATGAGTATTTGCATGTGATTCGTGGCATTGTCTAGTATACTGAGGAAGACACATAGTTCCTTCTCTCTGGGTGAGAGGGTACAGGGTAATGCATCAACACATCTAATTAGACACTTGATGTTTATGTAATATACTCATTTATCATTGGCTGTCATGTGTCATCATATGAACGAACGCTTCAGCACCTCAGTTCTAAATCAGTACGCGAGGTATATTAATCTACAGGTAACCATAGCAACAGTGTGTCTACTTCACGCTAATTTACCGGTTAACGGATTAAGCTGGCGATATTTTATGTTTTCTCGATGTCAGCAAATCCAATAAAAAACAAACAAACACCAAAACCAACAATGAACTTATCCTATTAACAAGTATCAAATGTCTTGCCAATACCTGACGCAGCTTATTTCCCCCAAAACAATTCAGAAGATATAAAAACAACAACATATAAATAAGTCACATGTTAGATTGCATGGCATGTTCCTTTATTATGATTAACACAGTATATTTTTAGTCACTCCCACATACTCTTGGTGCTGTAAAAGCTCACAATGTGAATTCATCTGCAGAGGAATTTGTGACCTGTGTTATTTTTTTTTTTTAAAAGACATCTTGAGTTAGAAATAATGAGCTTGAGGCTAAGAGCCATAGGCAGGGAAGGTGATGAACTTACACATTGTTCCTTTTGGGTCTTTTCATGGTATTTGTTGACAATAATAAACAGCGAGTAGAATATCTTATTCCTACACTCTCATCTGTGAAACAGACCAACCCAAAGGTTAAACTGACAACAAACAAACCTGGCAAACAAAGTGATAACGACTTGAAACACAGCTTTTCATTGTGGTACAGTGTTAATTAACAGACTTGGTGGAGGAAACTGTACTGTGGCACTTTTCACCTCCACTTTGTTCATTATTGCCACATATCAGAGCGCCTTATACTACTGCTTATTCAATACATAGGCTCACCATATCCGAGTAATCTACAACTCAGACACTTCATTACTATCTGCAACACACAGGTGGCTCAAACATAACACCTTAACGTGTCGAATACACGTACAGTGTGCCATAATCACTGTAAATAATGCAGGGTAGTAAGGTAATGCCTTAGCTGAACATGTGAGCACTAGATGCTCAGCAATACGTTATTTCAATGTGACAATTCACATAAAAACACATCACCTTGTCATCTTATCCATACTGTGATCTATCGAATCAGTTTGGTGTGAACTTCCAATGAAACTGGTTCTTTGTAAGTGTAATTTTAGGTTGCTCTGAGCATCATAAAACCACACTGTATTTTGGGAGACCTACAGCTGATATATCCAAACCTCAAACTGTCCACTGAACAATTAAAAAAAAAATAAAATAAACACGCATAAAAGTATTCAGCATCTTTCTCCAGACTACAAATATGTCAAACTGCAACACGATGCTCTGTAATCTGTTGCAAACGGATAAAATAGTACCATATGTGTTTATGTAACATTACTTGGGCCTAAAGCAACGACACATCTTGCAGCCAAACGCCGAGCTTTCAGTAAAACATGTCTCATAGTGGTTGTAAAGCCCTGAACGATAAGGATGGCGGGTATGTTGATGACAGGTTGCCCAGTTATTTCCTCCAGTTCTACCTGAGAGCTGTCAAGTTATTAAATGACAGCTGGCCAACAGAGCGAGACAGCCAATCAGAGAGCGAGCTAACGTCGGCTAGCTGGACATGCTAAGGATGTTGCAGCTTTACGTGCAATGAATGGTTGTGAATTCAGAAGGCTGTAAGGTTGTCAACATATATATATATATATATATATATATATATATATATATTGTGCTTGCTATTCCCCAGTGTCCTGCCCCCCCCGCTTTAGAGGCCACTTGCTGCAGCAGGGAGGTGTGACAGGGCCCTGGCTAGCTTAGCCGTCGGAGGCTAATCCAGTTAGCTAGCCAGCTAGCTCCGGAGCTGTCAGATGACCCGCCGTCCTTTCAGAGCTTTTCTCTGCCCGTACGAGGGCGTTAATGTCGGGATGAGCAGTGCAGCTTCTCCCCGGTTCTGTTACCGTAACACTGGGCTACCTCCCCCCCCCCTCACCCCGCTCCAAACCCTGCTGGCAGGAGCAGCTCTCCCCCCTCCGGTCCAAGCCGGGCCCTCCCCTCCTACCTCGGAATTTGAGTTCGTGTTGAGGCTCCAGGAGCAGAACCTGTTCCGGCCTGGCCATATCCCAACAGCTGGAGCGGGTCGATCGCACTGCAACCAGTTCCTGTCCGTCTGGTTTCTAACCCCACTTCGCGTCGGGATGTTGTGTGAGCGTTGCAACGACCGAAAAGAGTTAGTTTTTAATGAATGAATTAGCTGTTTGTGGATCTCTCTCTCTCGCTCTCTCTCTCTCTCTGTGTGTGTGTGTGTATGTGTGTGTATGTGTATGTATGTGTGTATGTGTGTGTGTGCCCCCGGTCACCAGTGCTACTCGAGCTACTAACGGCTGTTGTGATGCAGCAGGAAGGGACTGAGAGACAGCCTGGTGACGTCACCGCCTCTGCATAGCCAGGAGGGAGGGGGAGGGGGGGGGAGAGAAGAGGCGATGCACCCTGGGATGGCGGGGGTCCACCACCACCACCACCACCACCAGTTTATAGGAAGCCTCAGACACGCAGGTTTTCATTTCAGTCCACTAAGTTCAGGATCTGAGTTTACCAGTTGTCTTCCTTCAGCCTGGATGTGGAAGTGATCATGAAGCGGCTGCTGCACACTCACTCGCATCACAAGTAAATAACACTCTGGTGGATTCACTTGGTTTTTAGTTTAACTTGAGTTTAAATTAATGGATTATATGTCACTGAAGTTGTGTAATTTGGAGATGAATTAAAGGGTTACATTTAGTAAGAATTGGGATTACAATTTAAAATGCATCAGTTTTTCTTCTTTTAATGTTCAATTATTTTATTTCCTTTTTCTTTTTTGAAGGTTAAATTGTTTTGTTTTCTTTTATAGAATACACGTACATCAATACTTATTCTTGATATTTATTTTCTCTTGTTTTTATTTACATATTTGTTGTTGAAGTAATACAAAAGTATGAGAAAGTTACATTACTTTAATATTGTGATACTTGGATTAGGTTAGTGGCTACATTTTTAAACAGGTAACTAGTAACTGTATTAAAACATATAACATAACTTTTATAATCGGTATTTGATGACTAATAAAAAGTTACTTTCAAATGTATTCTTACATTCATCCAGCTGAAATATCAAAAATTAAAAATTAGTAGAAGCCATTTGTGACTTTTTTTTTAAATAAAATGTTTTTAAATTGCCTCGTAACATAAATTTGAATTTTAAAACCTTTTCAATGTTATTAAATAATTAATTTCACATTCATAACTGCAGATTTACAAGTGAAAAACCCAAACGTCTTGAATAGAAATATCCTGCCTCAGTTTGTTTTTCTAAAGCTTTTAACATTATTAATATGAATTTACTCACCATGAAATGTTTAATTATAATAGCACAACAGACACAGGTGTAAGTAATAACAGGAATGATTGGCTCCATTCCAATTAAGTGGATCAATGAGGCAGTATGCACAACTGGCACATCTGAGCATCGAAGTAGAATATGCAGCCGTGATTAATGTTAGTTACATCTGTGTTTGACCGTTTAAAATTTATGGCAAAGTCATAAAGTAATACATTGTGAAACATGTTTTTCTAAAAAAAAAAAAAAAAGCAGCTCAATGGCAAAATTATGTGTGTATATTACTAGTGTGTCAGTGTACCTTTAATTCATTTCATAAATCAATTTATTTCTCACCTGTCGAGTGTCTTTTTACACAAGCCTCCATGTTATCCTCACACTGCCATATACTGATTCATTGTAACACTGACACCTCAAAGACCTCAGTCCTTTATTATTAAAGGTGTAATCAGGCACAAGTCATATTGATCCTATTTCCCATTTAACCACATAGTTTTCAAACATGCTTTACAAATAAGGTGACTTGGATTTTTAATTGGAACAACAAAAAAATCCACAATCAAACTGGATCAAGTTGGATAAATTTAGCTGTAAACCCAGCGGGGGTTCGGTAGGGGACGGGGAGGTTGTCAAATAAGTGTTCTGCCCTCTCAGCACTATTCAAAGTGCAGTGAAAAGCCCTCTGCCAGTCAAAGACGCATCTCAAGTGTCGTATTTATATATATATAGCCAGTTCCGGCTGGCTGCCAGCTGAACAACACAACCAATCACTAACAACATTGTCACTGTATCTCCAAGGAGCAAGTTAATGCACACATCTTTCTCTTAGGCCCAACACGAGGCAGAGAGAGAGAGAGAGAGAGAGAGAGAGGCTGCATGTAGGACGTACACGGGTACACACTGACTCACTCACACAGCAGGAGAGGACAGATATTTTTGTCAATCTTTTATTAGTAAACAAATTGACAATTCCCTTTTACACATTTGGAAATACACTGCAAACAACTGTTTTCAGGCATTTTGTTACAATCAATATGAAACATAGTAAAAAGCTAAATATGGTAACTACAATGCTGATGAAATTACTGCAGATGGTGTACAGGTCTATTGTGTTCACACAACTGGCTTAGAATAGAATATAGTTATTGATCTGTGTGCAATTTGATGGTATATACCTACGCTGAAAAATATACATAATATAGATTAATCACATTCCCAGGGCCAGCCCAAGACTATTGGTATTTTTCAATGCAAAAACTGGCATACAATTTCTATCCATGCCTGTTTTCAAATAAGGGAAAAAAACATGTATGTCATTATCAAACTTCAAATAAGCATTTATGTGATTAGCACTTTAAATCACTGTTACATCGACAATAAAAAAAAAAAAAAGGTTAATTATGCGTGGTGTAGTAAAATGGCTTTGACATTATTTGCCACCGTGTTCTTCGCAGCAATAAGAACTGAGCAAACAGTCAAAACCTAAAATAACATCAAAAGGACATTAAGGAGTCTGTTACCTTTTATGAGAATGTTTCACAGAGATAATAACAGACTGCAGACAGGGTGTTAGTTAGTAATAAGGGCCAAAGAATACAAACAGTCAAAGTGCAGCTTTCAAAAGTACCAGAGTGATTCCCTTTTTGTGACGTGATTGCTGAAGCTATGTTAAATACTAGCTAGAGTTAGTATTATCGTGTAGTGCAGGGCGAATTATCAAAGACAGCAGCGTGAATCAAAATCCATTGCTTGAAGTTTAAAGTTTTGACCTAGAATGCTACTCTGGTTTTTAAAAAGGGATTTGGTTGGCCCCATCACACCGCTCATTTGATGAACTATGCACGAGCTAAACTGTCTTCAAATCAGCATAAAATGAGGTCAATATAAACCCGTCATTATCGTCCGTTTGAGAGACTGTAGGGCATGAGATCACATTTGTGCATGAGTGTGTGCTCTACCTGTGTGAACATATCACTCTGTAACTGGTTTCTTTGATTAGGTCACATTTTACCTTTGTCATAATAACAACTATTGCACTCGATAAGGAAATCCTGAAGGAATAGGCAGCACTGCTTAGCACACGACTCATCAAAAAACAGATACATTTAAGATGCTTACAGGCAAATAAAGTTGCTTTCGCTGACAGAAAAGCACACAATCCAAATTTATAAATATGGAAATGCAGTCTAATTGAGCCCACATCAGTATTTTTTGGCAACTTTTAAAAAGAAGTTTTGGGGCTAAAAGGACTCAAGAGATACAGACACGCAAGGAATTACACAGAATTAATAAGTCTGTGGGGGCTCATGAGTCAACTGCTACTGAAGTTCAATTAGGGTGATATCAGAGGTAAATCAAACTACTTTAACATGGTGCAAAGATCGCAGAGTATTTTCATGGATGTAAGAGGATGATCTGGAGCTCTTGTCGTAGAGTGAACCAGATTTGTCTGGAACAAAACGAAAGCTGGACACGCAGTAAGTGCCTGGGATTTAGAGGAATGAGTCAAAAGAAGGGGTTGGGAGAAAGGAAAATCAGAAGGCAGACCTTGGAAGAAAGCACGAACAGTAATTCAGAGCAGAATGGAGACTAAGGTTCATTAAGAGGTCAGCATGTCGACACAGTGCCACGTCTAATTCGGCACCTATAACGTTCCGCAGAGAGGAAATTTAAGCTCCAAAATCGGAGTTTCCTCTAAACGATCTTTAGTTTCCAGATCTCATTGTTTTCATCGCAGGCCAGGTAGTAAAACAACACTGCGTGTGCGAGCCAGTGCTGATTTAAAGAAAAAAAAAAACCAACCTAAAGATGAAAAATGTTTACGGGACAATTAAAGAATTTGGCAAGACCTCACATATATCATAAAACTGCTGTAAAGTAGCAGCAAAGGCTTGAGGAAAATTAGATTAGAGAAAAATAAAGCTAAAGTAATGTTGTGAGACAGCTGGCAGTACACTGTGTGCACTAGGGGGAACTTCATATTCAGGTTTGAGTTAACACCTTTTCAGTAAAAGTGTAACACATGTGAGCATCTGGGACTGTTATCTTATAATAATAAACTTAAAGACTCAGAATTTTCAGCCCTGATTAAAGCTCCATCAGTGGGAGATGTGGACTGTACAACTGTTCTTGTCGCTAAAGAATAAACAAAGTTCACAATTAAAAGAATAGTTTGGGAAATACAGGGGTAAACACCCGGCTCTCTCTCGAATGTTTAATCAGTAAAAAAATCAAAGTATAAAAACAACAATTTTCTATTTTACAAGGGGTTTATGTGCCGGACTATTTCTTGGCTGGGACCAATAACCTACTGGAGTCTCCGCAGGTTGTACGGCAGCTGCTCAGAGCCAAGAAATAGTCTGGCATATAACTCCAAGTAAAACAGCAAATTGTTGTCTTCACACTTAGTTCTCTGTACGGATTAATCAAACAAGATGTACTGTGTTAATTGATGAGCTCTAGATGTACTGGAAGGTGGATTTTGTTACCTTTGAACAGAGCAAAGCTAGCTACTTCCCTCTTGTTTCCAGCCGCTGGTTCCAGCTACATATTTACCATACAGACGTGATGGTATTGATATTCTCATATTACCCTAGGCTAGAGCATGAATAAGCATATTTCCCAAAATGTCAAACAATTCTTTTACTGTGTGGAAGTGAGCTCCCACACACACACCTATCATTTCTGCAATTTACCCTTAAAACATCCACTTGGTATTTTGCCTTGAAAAGCATCTTTGATGAAAAACAGCAATCACGAATAAAAATGTAAATTAAACGTGCTAGACTGGGAATCACCGACATCCCTCCAAATATCCTTCCAAAAAGCAAAAAAATTGAAATGAGAGCTCGGTACTGATGTCTACCAGAACCTCTTTCATCAAAATCGTATGATAAATTAGTGATTACACACATTAACTGTACAGATGGATCCTTCACAAAGATGAGAACGTTTGGGGAGAGATCTCCCAAACAAACAAAAGGCAATAACTTAAGTGCTATCAAAATAATTTGGTGAAATTGAACCATTTTCAGTCCATGTTTTGGTTGAAAGATAATAGATTTGTACAAATTTACAGGTACAAATTACTTCTGAATCCATGAATCTGTATCTGTGTACTTCCTCTGATCAACCTAGGGGCTATAATACACCACACAGAGGTTGATGTCCATAATGGAAGCCAGTAAATTATATGTATGGGGGTCCTTCGGTTACACATCAATGTATTAAAGCAATTCTCAGTAAACTTGAAGTATTTCTCCTGCCAGGAATTTTCATACGATACATGACAATTTGCTGTTGTTGAGTGCCGCAAAAAAACGCATTCGCTGCGGCCATCTGTTTGGCAATGCTGCATCCTGGTGTCAGTGATAGCTGGGTGTTTGAGGGTGTGTGGTGGCTGTAAGCTGAAGCAGGCCGAGGGTAAACGAAGGTCAGGTCACAGGTCATGTGGGGGACAGTCACCGGCATCATCAGCAGCACGTCCTGCGAGACTCTGAGGCCTGCCGTCCCAGTTTGAAACCTTTTCCTGAAGTTGCCCCTGCCGCGTCTACAACGGGGATGCGCTTACCTTTGAGGACGGACACACACACACACACACACACACACACACACACACACACACACACACACACACACACACACACACACACACACACACACACACACACACACACACACACACACACACACTCTCTCCATTACCACACATACACTTTCTTACTGTGTCTGTTTTTTTTTTTTTTAAAGAAATGTTTCTATACATTATGAATGGTAGCGAGACATTTACAGATAAAAGATTTTGATATTTCACTTTTTCTTTCTGAACTTGAATTTACACTGGAAAATCGAAGTCTAGTCTAACTCTAAGTCATAGTTTTATTGCAGTAAATTATCTTAACTTCTTGTATATTAAGTTAATTAGTAAGGCGTGGGGAGACGAGCTGTGTCCCAATAACAGAATTAAATGATACATGCAGCATTTGATGTGAATCGTGTTTTTAGACGTACTGTGATTTTGCTTAATTTCTCTACCCACATAATTAATATGTAGTATGGGACACAGCTATTGAGTATATCTCTTTGATCTCTATCTTATCAGTTGCCACTCAGAACTCAATCAGCTGCTCCCATAGCTCCTTGTCTCTGCAAATTAAATGTCGAGGTGTCATGATTAAGTTGATTCTGCTTTACTTCCAACATGACATTATCTGCAGCTTGTTCTGAATTAATTCATCCCTGTCAGGAGTCAGATACAAACACAGAACAGACTGATAACACTCCTTAAATGTTTAGAAATGATACCTCTAATAGGCAATACTGTTTAAAAACATAGTGTACCTGCTTTAAAACACATAGAGAGACCAGATAATTATCTTAATGCTGCTTAATGCTTAATGTGTCACAGCTTAATGGGGACCTGAGGATGTACAGGCCAATGGCACCAAATGCTCAAGAAACACACTCACTTATCTCTATAAACACCTCGTTGATGTTAATGGCATTCTTGGCACTGGTTTCTACAAAGATGGCATGGATGGAGTCAGCATAGTCCTTGGCATCCTTCTCTGGCACTTCCCTGTAAACAAAGAAATACGTCCAAATTATCATGTTGCGAAAATTCAAACAGATCCTCCAATTTCATGCATTAACTGATAACCATCACATTTACTTCTACGGCGGGAACTTGGAAGATTTCCTACTAGAAATCTACAAGTGCTTCAATAGCCACAATGATTAAGGTGAATGAAAAAGAGTCTGCTCACCTAATATTCCACAGCAGACCAATTACACAGAATACTAATCAGTATGAGAGCCAATATTCCTCTTTGCACAGCTGAATGCACTTAAGCTCCACAGACAATGAACATAAATTATATTTTGAAGCCACACATCAAATATCATTCCGATGCTAAAAGGTCATAATATTTCCCGTCTAAACCAGACATCTGAAATTGCTCTCAAGTTGTAAATGAGGGGGCACAATCATACTGAACACAAGCATTGCTCATGACGCATACAGTATTATCTCTAAGTCAGATTCACCTGGCGTCTGAAAGGTCACATTTGTTGCCAGCGATCGCAACCACTATATTGGGAGGACCATGCTGGCGCAGCTCCTTCACCCAGTTCTTCAGTGTTTGGAAGGATTCCTGATGATACAGGTAAATAACACGTTACACTGAATTAATCAATAAGCAGACAAACACATAGCACTTCCCATTAAAGTTGAAGGGATTAGTTTGACATTTTGTTTAATAAGCTTATTTACTTTCTAGCTGAGAATTAGATTAGAAGATAGATACCATTTATGTTTTTATGGTGAATACAGGGCTGGAGGCAGCAGCTGATTAGCTTAGCTCAGCATAAAGACTGAAAATGGCACCTGGCTCTGTCTCATATGTTTAATCAGTAAAAAAAAAAAAAAACACAATAATATATCATTTTACAAGGGGTATATGTGACAGACTACTTCCTGGAGTTTTCCACTGAGCCAAGAAACAGTCTGGCATATAACTCCCAGTAAAACAACATAATAATAATTTTGACGCTTTGTTTTCTGTACGGATTAAACATATTTAGCATACAGACGTGACGGTATTGATATTCTCATCTCACCCTACGCAAGAACATGAACACATATTTCCCAACATTTCAAACTATTCCTTTAATGTAAGGAAGTAGACTTCCACATTCCTTCATTACTGCATTTTTAACCGTGCAATTAACATCAAAACATCCACTTGGTATTTTGCCTTGAAAAACATCTTGATGGAAACAGCAATTATGAAATAAAATGTGAATTAATCGTGCACAAGCGTTCTTACTAGACTGTGACTCATGCTGTGAAAAAGGTCTTTTGCTTCATGTTGTGTCAAACAAATAACAAAATGTAGCTACCCTCACTATATACTGGCTCCTTAGATGCTTGCTAGAGTTGGGTCTCTGACACTGACAGTGTTGTGTTAAGAACACACGGCAGTCCGTAAGGTGTGTGTGTAGAGTGAATGTGGTGAGAGAGAGCGTGAGCACTGAAGACGATATCAGGTTTCACACTGATGTGCACGGGAAGAATTAAATACGTGTTTACCCATTTTAATCAGTGGCAGTCAATGTTGATATTGTGGCGGGCCGCCACAAATAAATGAACGTATGGGAAACACTGAATGAACCCATTATATCTTGTTTGTTTAATCCATCCAAAACTGAATTATAAAAACATAAATTTGCTGTTTCACACAGGGTCAGTAACATCCTGGAGTCTGTACTGGTTGTCTGCCAGCTGCTCACAGCCAAGAAATAGTCTGGCAATAACTCTTGGAAAAGCGCAAATTGTTATTTTACAAACAAGATGTAAGGTGATAATTATTGAGGTGAGTTCATTAGTTTTGGACCGAACCAGGCTAGCTGTTTACCCCTGTTTCCAGTATTTATGCTAAGCTAACGGCTGCCAGCTGTAGCTTCGTATTCACTGTACAGACATGAGAGTGGTGCAAATCTTATCATATAAGTCTTGGCAAGAAAGTGGATAAGTGCATCTCTGAAACTGAACCATTCCTTGAATACACATGTGAATTAAAAAGGAAGGAAAGACATGGAACTACACAATGAAACTATACAGTAAGTGCTTAGTGGATTAGTGGTTGAGGAGAAAAAGGAAATAATACCTCTTTTGTGATGTCATAAACAATGATAGCCGCAGCTGAACCTCTGTAGTACATCGGGGCTAGAGCACGAAACTGTGGGGAGACAGAGAAAGTTCAATTAGCTCAAAGAGAGACACTGTTGGACAGGGAGGCCTGGACGTCTGAAGACTCTGAATGACCTTCATCTGTGCCTATACTAAAAGATCTGCTTATATCATTAAGTCTGCATATAGCTTTGAAAACATGTGAAACAGAACATGATGATCAGAGTTAAAATATCTTCTTTAAACACAATAAATGCCATCTTTGAAGACTGTTTTCCAATCTTTAATCTTTTTTTGGATATTAAAAAGAGTTCTATCATTGCAGTGTAGTTGTATTATATTTTTATAGTATATATATACACCCAATAGATCAATAAACTATGTCTGGGCTTCATAGACTATGGCTAATCTGTTACATAGGCACAGATCATGGTTAATAAATAATACTGACTGTAACAAACTCAAAGCAGAGTATACAAATGAGCAAAAAAAGACACCAAGTACCATTTCAGTAAACCAAAGGCCCAGTGTTCTCAGCCTATAAGCCAAGTAGCTTTATTTGAAATGGAAGCATGGCAAGTCTTTCCACCAAGACCTCACACATGTGGTAGCCATCAAGAGAAAGATGAGCAGAATGTGTCAGAAGCTGTTAGCGTTTTGATATTTATGGAAGACTATACATTTGATCTTAACCCAATAGATCACAAAGCCCTGCATAATCAAAACAACATGTGCATTTCTAAATCCATAGCTGCCTGGGAGGCTGGGGGTTCCTTTTGCTACGTTTGGTATTTTTCTGGTAAAAAAAAAACAACTTTCCAGTGCTCATTGAAACCTGTCTTCAACAATCAGCCCGCTGTCATATTTTAAAACATATTGTTTTTAATGGCAGTGTCTGTCTGTCTGTCTGTCTGTCGACTGGTCTGCCACTTTGGTGCAGAATGAAATATCTCAGGACTACAGGATGGATTGCTAAGAAATTAACTTACTAATTTTCATGAAATCAGGAAATCATTCATGTTCCCTTCAGGATGAATTATAACATTGTTGACTTTCCATCGTATTTCATCATCAGGTTGATTTTTTTTATTTCTCCAGTACTGTGGCTTATTACCAAAAACCTTCCCAACAATCTCAGCTGTACTTTCTGTTTAATGAAAATTAGCAAATGTTACTATGGTAACACGCAAACCTAAGATAGTGAACCATCTTAGCATCTTGACAGCACAGTATTTACCATTATGGGACTGGCAGTGGCTCTGTACTAAATGACGCCAACTTAGCTACAATGCTAATATTGCTAGCAGTAGGTTGCTAAGTCTCTTACAAAACTGTTTTGTGACAAAGTAATAGATAACTTTATTGTCGGGTCTTGATATGAGGCCAATTTGTTGTTATACAGCTCTGGAACTAATTCGTTTTTCATCTTTCAGTTCAAGCTGTGGTCGACAATGAGGGGCTGCACCCACAAAGGTCAGCGCAGCTCTGGTTTAAGTTAAACAAATATGAAGTTGGTCTCACCACAGACATTTGTGCAAAGCAGTGGCACAACCACTCGCTTACAGGACCTTAATACAAAAGTGTAGTATGAATCCATTCCCTTGCTGTTTAGATGATTTTTATGCTGAAACAAATGTGGACTATTAACTCTAACTCTAAATGCTAACCTCTTTGTATGCCTTCTTGCAATACCAGCTGGACTGGGTTTTTTTTAACAGACTAATAAAACCATGTGTCATATATTAACTAATGATATTTATTTTAAAAGAAACAACTCATGTCTGAAAAAGACCTTCACTTAGAATGACCCTGCTTTCCCGCCAATTCTATTTTCCTTCACAATACGATGGAATAAACTATCCATCTCGGAGTGACACCGTTACCTCAGGAAAGCACACATTCCACATAATTATAGTTGTTACTGGCCCCAAGTCCACCAACGGGAATCCAACTTGGGATATTTGGCAGAGGCACTGAGGAGAGTGCTGTCTGTTTCATTGGCTAGTGTTGGGCCTTGCCACCACCAGTCCTGTGTGGTCTATCTCTGCCTTAACCCAAAGAGCAATTGCAGTGAGGCCAGACGTCTGGCCACACTGCAGCCCAGAAAACAGCCCCAGTGATACCCAGCGAGTGCTGATTAATTGCTAAAACCACGAGCTGGGTGCATAAAGAAAGGAAGCCTATTCCAGTAGGACGCGAGGTTCCTCTCGCTTGTTTTCTGTGAGAGGGAACAGTCAGAGGGGGAGGCCTCAATGGGCTGTTGACAGCTGGGCTCAAATGTACTTGTAAGGCCTCATCTGGTCTCGAGATATGGATTGCGGATTGTGGAAATCACAGAGCTTTCCGTTTTGCCTTGGTCTCTCCTTCCATGTGCATTGGCTTGGCTTTGTGTTCCCCTTTCTCAACTCAACAGATTTTGGTAGGCCAAAGCTCCACAAAAGTTAGACAACAAGCCATGAAAAGCTTCAAAATACCTCAGCAGCTTTGTATGAAAACACAGACACATGCAAAAACCTACCAAAGGAATGTAGCTCCTTTTTCCCGCACAGATGTGAACCCCTTGGGAGGCTGAGAGGCGACATGGGAATGAAAACGTGGGTATGTGGGATATGAAAAGATGGAGAAAATGTACCACAGAAAAATAGATTGTTCCCAAGAGAAGAAATGTTCCACAGGAGAAAACACAAAGGGGAAAAAAAGGAGAAGTGGAGTTGCAGTGATCTCAGATAAGACACAGTAGCAGCACACGCCAGTGGGCTGAGACAGCTTGGATTTCATCCTCTCATCTTATCTTAAACAGGGCTGCATTGATGTCCCCTCAAGGCGGCGAAGAAGCCAAGGACCCCGGGGGAAAGGAGGATAAAAGACAAACAGCATCTTATCTCACCTCTGGGGAGAGGACAGCAGCAGGGATAAGGCACTACAAGAGCAGGGGATTGTGCATGAGAAAAAGAGAAGGGCATGTACAGAAAAAGGGAAGTGATGCGGAAAGTTAACGCACAGAAATATGGGATGCAGGGTGTGAGTCAAAAGAGAAAGCATTTCCTACAACTGTCTGGGGCTCGGTGTTGTTTGGGCAGGCTCAAATGCTAAAACACCAAGATGTATCCTGTTTCTTATATCACACATCTGCGGGTAGATTCAGTTTGAACTAAACTTTGTGTGGGTGTGTGGGCATTTCAGATATTGCTGCTATAGACACACAGGAGGGTAGGTTATATAAGAAGTGGCACCTGGACATGATAGGCGCTAACACCTGTCAGACGTGTATGCAGCATTAAATAACACCAAAAGAAAAGCAATGGCACTCCTTTACTTGCGGTTTAAAATGCATGAATGCAATGGGGAAGGAGTGAAAGGGAAGGGAGACAAAGATTAAAGGTGACAGAAAGGACAAATCATGACAGACGTGCTGATGTTTCTACTAAACTAAACAGACACCGCTCAACCGTCTAAAGAATGCCATCGGACCACACACACACACACACACACACACACACACACACACACACACACACACACACACACACACACACACACACTTAAACTAAAAGTGGACTCCTAAAACAAGAGCACTACAGGGTTTAGGTTACTGGTTAGTGGGCAGAACTCTACCTATAGAAAGATAAATGTTGCCCCCTATCAGAAGTAATGAACAACTGCACTATTCACTTTCCCTCAGGCTGATTCAGGGAGTGGTACGTGCACATGCGGGTAGCTTTTTCACTTCCTTTAAAGCCACATGGGAGGAACCGGTAGATTTCTAAAACAAGCCAAGTAAAACTGATTGATTGCAATATCAAAACTGTGTAAAATGCTGTTGTGGCTTGGCTGCTTTAAAGATAAATCACATGTAAATCTTGCTCAGGTTTACTATCCACCAGTCAATTTTAAAATATAAAAGCTGAGGGCCAAAACCTCAGTGGATATTACTAACCCGCTCCTGTCCTGCTGTGTCCCAGATCAGGAACTTGTGCAGCTCGTTTTGGTATTGCACTGTCTTGGTCATGAAGGATGCCCTGGTGAAGAGAAATGGCTTCATGATTGATACATTATGCCACATTGATAAACTTTGCTGTTACACAAAATATAGATAAATAATAGAGCTGCAACTACAGTGAGAAGAACACACATCTTCATCTATATCATCTACGAGCTTTAATAAAACAGCAACGTCCCAAATGTCATATATTCAAGAGGACTTACTTGTATTGCATCAATTCAATATCTAATGCTACAATATCAATAATTGGTTTTGATTAAATTAAAAGATTTTTATTTTGTTATAAAAATTCAATAACAAGAAGTTTTTGTCAGTGTAATGGCGAGGTTACCTCAAACATATCTGTTATTGTTGTTATTTATAAAACTGGTAAGATATGACAATAATTATTGGTCTGGCTGTAGTATGGAGTAAGGACACTGTACACAATGACAGAAAATACAACAAATGCCTATCACAAGTTGACAAAGCCATTTCTTTAAATTTCTTTCCTTAAATTAACCAACAGCCACAAAAAAAGCATTTAATTTATAGAAAAGCAAGATACTTTTTGCATTTGTGAAGATAAAACCAGCGAATATTATGTGTTTAATAGTTAAATTAATAAAAAAAAGTAAAATAAATTGGTATTAGGGATACAAAATGTACTATTATTTTCATTCTTAATAACAAACTATTAAAATTAGAGCTGATTAATCCATACAGTGATAGACAGAAATGAACTGACTACATGATGATGTCCTGTAACAACTCTAAACACAAACCAGTGCAACAGACTTTTGGGCGACAGCAAGAACTTACCCAATTGTTGGGTTGATGTTTGGGTCAAAGCTGTCTTCCACGAATCTCCAAACAATACTCGACTTTCCAACCCCAGTGTCCTGCAGAGACAAAATAAAGACAATGTTTACCAAACACAGCCAGAAACCATTAATACAAGTATAATTGCAACTGTAAAAACAAATTCTGTGTGATGTGAGAATGGTACTTTAGGAATTATTGATAGAGAAAATGAAGCTTATGGTGTTATAAGCAGCCAAGACACGCATGAATATTGTTCCTGTGACTGATGTATACATAGTGACTGCACCAGTAATGTTATTTAGAAAAGCAAATAACAATTATTTTCATTATTGGTTAATTGTTTGGTCAATACAATGTGAAAAATACTAAAAAATGTCGAGTACTGTATTCCAGTGACTCAATATGACAACTTAAAACTCCTTGTTGTGTCTGTTAAAGAGCCCAATGATATAAATCTTCACATTTAAAAAGCCAGAAAAAGAAAATGTTTGTTATTTTAGCTTTTAAAAAAAAATGACTCAAACATTCATCTGATTATCAGGACTCTGTGATTAATTTTATAGGTTCAACTTAACAATTAATGGACTAATAGCTCTATTTAAACGTTATTAGCAGAGGATGCAGAGGAGATATGTATTAATGCAATGCTTTTAGAACAATATATGTATTTATGCTGTTGTTATATGCAGATTATACATAAACAAATGTTGTTCCTGTGCCTGAAAAGTGCAAAACAACAACAACAACACCACTAATTGTTATTGTTGATCACAGGTGTGAACACATGTACCTGATGTAAACAGACCATCAGTATGCACTACAGTGGGGACTTCACACATACGGCTTCAAACAAACAAACAAACAAACAAACAAACAAACAAACAAAAACAAATCGATGCTCACTTACCCCCAGAAGACACACTTTTAACTCTCTCAGCGCCATATCGATCTCCTCTCTCTCTCTCTCGTGTGTGTGTTAAAATGGGTTTGTGATGATGACCATTGACAGTTTTCTCCTCTTGCTACCTCTTATCTTAAATATTCTTCAGGTGGTCTTGTGTTTACAAAACAAACTCTCGCTTCATCGTGGTCCCAAAACCCCTCTCAGGTGAGGTTACGACTCTTTGAATCGGCGTTAAAACGTCCAGTAGTCCGTCGTGTTTGCCATATTGTGATTATTGTAAACAGCCAGCTAGCTCACAGTGAAGCCTCCAAATCGCTCGGTCTCCATCTTGAATTACGCCGTGTGATCACGTGATTGTATCGGCTCCTTTTTTATTTTTTTTAATTTTATTGTTTTATTGTTTGGAAATAACACAAAGCCCCCCCCCCACAGGCTGCTTATTTACCCCCCAGCGATGTCGAGCTTGTGTCCCAGCTGAGACACGGTAATCGCTGTAAACCTATTTATTGTTTTAGTTTTTTGTTTTTTTTAAAAAAACAACCCTTCAACCGGTGATAGCACCAGCGACCAGGAAGCACGGCCAGGAAGTAGTTTTGCGGGGCCGTGTTTGAGTGACAGCTGTGCGGTGGTGACAGCCCACACGGGACGGCAGCCCGCAGAGCCGAGCCGATACTCAAGATGGCAGGTAATGGCACTTTTTTAAAAAAAACAGTGTTTTCTTTTCTGTTTTTTGAGGCTGTGTGGGTTGTTAGGAAGCGGCATCGTGGTCTCCTCACTCCGGATATATGAAACAGCGGCCTGCACTTCGCCGCGGTGGTGTTATTCCCAGGTTGAAGAGCTGGCGAAGGCGAAGTCGGGCGAAAGGGCTGGACGAGCCGTGTTAGCAAACTTAGCACCGCTAGCCTGCTAGCTGACGAAAGCTAACCCGAGGGGGGGGTTAGCGAAATGTGTGACTTTGAGGCCACGTTTAAACTCATAACTAATCAGTACTTGTTAGTGATGTTGTAAAGAATCGCTCTCTCCTGTAGTCGGAGGTTATCGCGGGTTTAAAGCCGCGTTTAATGTCGAACTGTTGTCATAGCAAAGGCTAGCGAGTTGACCTAGCTAACGCTAGCCGAGTTGCTAAAGTCATTTTCAGCCATAAGCTGACCAAATCCCCCTTTATACCATAACAAAGGGGAGATGTTGTTCTTCGGCACCATGCTTTATTTTTTTTTTTGGGGTGGTGGTGTGTTGTTAAAACCAGTCGCAATGATATTTCATCCACACGTAAAAACACCACATTTAATGTATCTATTCGGAGATAGGGGTTGTTTTTATATCTGGAGCACATTCCCTTGCTGGTCCAGCTGTAAACACTGGCTTTAAGCCCTCACCACAACATGCTTTCTCCTTCTGGGACCCCTTTCTGGGCTCTTCTTTTCACTGCTCTGCTCTGGGGTTATTGTCCTGTATGAAGGGTTGGGTGGTTTTGAAAACAAATGATGAGAAACAGCGATGAAATTAACCTCATAAGCGAGACATGTCTACTTTGTGTTCATCACATTGGACTGCGTGATAATGGGGGAGCTGAACTGGAAGTATAGTTTGCAATCAGCTAACAAAATAGGCTTGAGATGTTTGTGATGTATTTAAAAATCTATGCATGTGTGTTGTTCCCAGTTTCTGAATATGTAAATTTCAGCCACATTGTTCAGAAATTATTCAGATTTAGTTGTTTTATTTGTAGTTTTAATGTAGGTAAAACAATCGTCTATATGATCCTACAAATTCTGAGGAGTTTTGTCAATATATTTGTGATTTGATCTTAAAATATAGATAAGATGAGACCTACTTAATAGAGCCGATGCAGGAAAATTGTTCTGTGTCGAAGCATCATGAATGCAACGTCATTCAACCTAGAGAAACTACATTATGAGCATCTATTGTATTCAAAAATGAAGCATTAAAAATATTACACACACCAAACATAAAAAGCAACTCTAAATAAATGAGGAAAAACTATAAATTGCGTCCAAGAAGTGAAGGGAATGAAGCGAGGTGATGGATAAAGTGTCTTATGTGTGTAAAAAGAACAGAGAAGATACAAACATATGCAACAGAAAAGCTTGCGCAAACTGAAATCAGAGCTTCCTTAAGTGTTGTCCAAGTGTTTCCTCAGGCAAACACACACACACGAAGCAAATTAAGGGTGTGTGTACACAAACATACATACATACACCAAAAATTACCAGTGACCTTGTATTCATTTAATCACACGTCGCTGTGATTTACTGAAGCAGACTTTGTCCCTTCTTCTTAGTAATTGTCAGCCTGTAAACCTGCCAACCCAGAGCTCCTTTCATTTTGTAGGGGGAGTGGTGTAATAGTGTGATGGTATGTTGATGACATGTTTGCCACAGAGGATTTCCCCTCTAATTGCCTTATCCTTGCAGGTCTATCTTTATATTTTGAAGATGGCCACGACGATTTGGATGACTGTGAGTACTCCGGTTATTTGTGTGATTTGTTAATAAACAATATCTGGATTTATCCATTAGTTTCTTCCATACATGTGGGGCTTTGTTTTTCTCTCGTCAGCAGAGACGTGTGTGTAAGTGTCATCTTTCTCGGCAACCCCATTAACCCACATGTGAAATTTAAAGCTGTCAACAGTATTTCAGGGTTTTACGCCATGCTATTATTAGCTGTTATACAAACCAATAGTCCCCGTTGTCTGCATTAGCTGGAGTGATGAAACACCTTTTGGATCCAACTGCAAAGCCAGTGTGTATTTATGGCTGGGACATTAAACGGAACAGTTAGACTTGAGCCTTTCTGCTGTGTTCACACAGTGGAGGTTCTTAATTGCTGACATTTAGTCTGACTCAGTGTCTTCAACATGGCACTGTGACTACTGTGGTGCATCTGTCAGTCCTCGTGCAAACGTTTTGTTTTTGTAGGCATTAGCTGTACGATTCAGAGATGGTTCCAACGGTGGCGAGGCTGTACAAATCATCTTTCGCTCTCTATCCCACAGTTGGATTCGATGACTATGGCTCAGAGTGCGACGGCATCCGTATCACAGCCTTCCTCGATGCTGGACAAGACAACCTAACTCCTCTTGGGAGGCTAGAGAAGTATGCCTTCAGTGAGAATGTCTTCAACAGGTAAGGGGAGCCTTGTGGTTAGGCTGTTAACTCTGCACTGAAAAAAAAAAACAGACAGACAATGGGATGTTCATGAGTAGTTTTTGAGTTGTGAAGATACTTTGTCAAGCTATATTGTGCAATGTAAACACACAGTGATTCAGTGTATTGTGGCAGAAAGCATTTGTGTTTTTAGTCACATTCCAGCTTGAGCTGCAAATACTTGGAGCAGAACTCTGATAGCTCTTTAGTAGTGTTTTCTACCGCAACTTCAGCTGTTGATAGGTTGACTCAAAACTTAACAGCTGAGTTGGAAAGTCACAAACGTACAGTTACACATAATAAAATACAAAAAAAGGTTTCCTGAATCAAGCTTTAATCCATCTACTGTTTCCTTTCTGACTATGGCTGCGTCCATGTCAATACATTTGAATGCATACTTCTTTCTATATTGTAACCATCTACACACACTTTATTTATGGCTGATAACTCATTTAAATTTTCCTTTGAGCAAGTAACAGTGTTCTATTCTTGCCACCTGAAAGAGGATTAATACATTTTTGTTTTGGCATTTCGGTGTTGAAGCCAAGCTTGTGGAAAACAAGAAAGTGGTTGATTTAAACCAAACCCTGTCTGACAAGTAAACAATGATTTTATATTTACTTGCAGATGTGTAGACATGTCTTCATGTTGGTTTGTGTTGACAGCCTAATGCCGCGCCTTGTGGAACTTAGACTTAAGGAAACATCTGGCAAATGACACAGAGGTGTTCAGAAAAAGTGATGAGAAGATGTAGTCAGATATTCAGATTAACTTTTCATTTCATTTTAAAGAAATTAAACTTAAACTGTTCACAGATTTCAATGAAATAATTTCTAAAAGGTTTTATGGCTCAAACAACTAATGGCATAATGTTGCACAATAATACATTGTTGTTATTTGACTTCTTTTCTTCATATTATTGTATAAATAATATGGAATAATGGCTAAATTGTGTCATAAACCCCACGCTGGAAAATTCTGATGTGAGATTAACATGGTCCCATCTCAACTAATAATTGTGTTTTTTTCCAGTTCATCTGGAAGACTGTCTGCATTCTTGTGTATTTACTAATCACATACCTGCTTTAACTCTGTAGTGCAGGAATGCCAAAAGACTTAATGTTGAGCCATGGGGGATGGTTTCTGTCTGAACGTGGCATTAGGTTGACAGTGCTAGTCAAACATGTGTAGTGTTTCCAGCTGAAGACAAATTTTGGTTTATGCATATTTTCTGTGAGATTTATGTGTTTGTTTGTTTTTTTTTATGTTGTACTTTCTGCGTACTTGAGCCAGCCAGTGCAAGTCCATAGTATGTGCTTTTTGATTAAACGCAATGCCTCTGCAAACACTTCATACTGCTCTGTTGTCTCCACACAGTCGGGTTTAGTTCCTGTCTTTAGGCTTTTCATGCTCAGCTTCGCAGAGTTCAAGCCCTGCTGTCTTTTCCAAATACATGCGTGTCTAATGTACTTGACAGCTCTGTCAGTGCTGTGCTCTACGCAGTGTGCATTCAGCACTTGTAGGTATTGGCAGGCAGTCTTACTAACTTGACGCTCCTGTTGCTTTCTAGGCAAATCGTGGCTCGTGGCCTGCTTGATGTGCTTCGAGAGTTCAGTGACAATGAAAATGACTTTATCAGTGTGATGGAGACAGTTGCCAGAATGTCAGAAGACGGAGGTAGATGCATTTTCCTTTTCATCCAATTAGTTGTCATGTCTCTAGATAATTCTGCGCTTTTTGACTGTGATTTCCTTCGTTAAATGAAATTAAACTCCTTCAGGATTTAATCATGTTTGCAAGCACATGATGCTCATGTTGCGTTGTACCTTAAGCTTATCCTTTTAATGTGTGTACTCAGAGCCCACAGTGCGAGCTGAACTGATGGAGCAGGTCCCCAACATTGCCATGTTCTTACACGAGAGTCGGCCCAACTTCCCAGCTGCTTTCTCAAGATACTTGGTTCCCATTGTAGTTCGATATCTCACTGATCCAAATAACCAGGTTGGTTTCAAATTTACTAGGAAATAAGAGACTTAGAACAAATAAGTCCACTGGTCAGAATCATTTACACCAAGTTTACACCGAGTTTTAAAACTTCCTCACATGTTTTCCAGGTGCGGAAGACCAGCCAGGCAGCGCTGCTTGTTCTGTTGGAGCAGGGCCTCATCTCTAAAGCTGATATGGAGACCAAAGTTTGTCCAGTGCTGCTTGAACTCACTGAACCCAGCAGTGACGATGACTACAAAATCGAGGCAGTTGCTGTAAGAAACTCATCTTTTTTAATTTTTTTATTTCTTTTTTTTTAAGCAAGAACGAGAGCAGAGAGCCACAGTGGGTTTCTTTTATTACTTTACTGTGATCACTGAGTCCCTTTTATCTGATCCAGTGACCAGTCTACACTAACAACATCTCTCTTTTGATGGAACGTAATTGATGCCAGCAAAGAATATTTTTGGATTACATAAACTGTATTTTACCAAGTGTTAAAAATTTTAATGCATTAGTCAAATTAATGAATTGCATCAAATTTGAAACTGCAAATAATTTTTTTTCAAAGGCTCAAAGTTGAATGTGATTTTTATTCTGATGTTTTTGTTGTTAGCTATTCATTTATTTACTTAACCCAATTCAAAGTTGCACACCTGCTCCTCATGCCGCTCACTGTCTCTATATGTCTTCCTCTGACAGATTATGTGTAAAGTTGTCACCATGTTGAGCAAAGACACAGTGGAGCATCTATTGCTGCCACGCTTCTGTGACCTGTGCAGTGACGCCAGACTCTTTCAAGTTCGCAAGGTAACGGCCGCCAAAATTTCCTCCTTAAAGGTCAATAAACTTTTAACGTTCTGAAATTACTCATGGTAATGAAACCTACAAGATATTCTGTTTCACACTGCAGTCACAACTGGGCAAATGGTTATTTGAGGTAGAGTTTAACTGTGTTCCCCTCAGGATAAATTGAATAATATTGTGAGTCAGCCTTAATTCTGTTTTGCGCATCACCTTATCCTACCCTACGCTGTTGTTTTCTGTGAGGAATGTTAATTCTCTGGCGTTACTGGTGCCAGTAGCGGAAAAGTGTTTAGGATTTGCAAAGATGGTCAAATGTTGTGAATTATGATTTTAGCTCTTTTGTGATTGTGACACTTTTTTTTCTTCTGCCTTTTCTCTGAAGCTGAACTTTGAAATGTTTTACTGCTTTAGCCCAGGACCCAAAATAAGCATATATGTGTCACAATACTCAGGACCCTGAATAAAATCCTTCTTTCATACAGTGAGCAAATGCAGTATGTCTGAAAATTATACAATAGGACCACAACTTTACATAAGTTAAGTCAATGCAGATGGTCTATGTTCTGCTTACTGGTAGAAATGATGTGTAAGTAGTGTTTATTAATGTATAAATAAATGCTTGAATTGACTGTTATGTTAGAATTGCAACAAAAATTTGAGCTATTATGATCTAGATCGCCCATATTTACATGTACATTTACATTTGTGTAAACCTTTAAAAACAATGTGTCATATATCTCACACTGATGAAACTCTTGATGCCAGAATGTTAGGAACTTTCTTTCTTTTTATATGGAAATTAAATTCACATGGTCATGTAAATACCACCCTTAAGACACATGGCCCATGTTGCTAGGCAACTATAGCATACAGCAGTACAGATAATAGAAAAGTACAGAAATACTGAATGATGGAGGAGATTTAGTAAGCTAAACAGTGTATGTATGATAATGTTTAATTGTGGAATTATTAATATTCCTTTTAGTGTTACTGGAATTGCCATCTTTCTGAGACACCATGTAAATCAGCAACCTGTTGTGGATTGTGTCTGATGTTTTGAAATAAAAATTTTTTGCTGTTTATTTGGCACTGAAACGTGACCTTGTTGTTCATTATGTTTTGTGTTTTGTATGACAGGTCTGTGCAGCGAATTTCGGAGAGTTTTGTTCTATTGTTGGTCAGGAGGCCACAGAAAAACTATTGGTAAGAAGCTCAGAGACTTATATTTCTTTAATTGAAATTTCCAAAACCAATGAAAACCCCATTCCCATCTTTATTGTGACTGATGACAAATCTCTTCTGAATATTAGTTGCAATTTTTACTGACGTGTTTTTGTTTTTAACGTAGATGCCCAAGTTCTTCGATCTGTGCTCAGACAGTCTGTGGGGCATCAGGAAAGCCTGCGCCGAGTGCTTCATGATGGTCTCTAATTCCACCTCTCCCGAGGCGCGACGTGTGACACTGTCCCCGCTGTTCATCAGCCTCATCAGTGACCAGTCTCGCTGGGTAAGACGCACGCAGGAGAAATTGTAGGATTTATGTGCAACTTCCTCTGTACTGTGATGAAAATAGAGCAGTTGTTGCTATGACTTGTTGCAAGTTTGTTTTTCTCACCACTGCATGCGTCATATTCTTCCTTATTTTGAGCTATGTGCTTTATCTATACTTAGATTACATTTCTTTAAGTGAAATGTTAAAATAAGAAACTAGCTTCTGAAAATATAAAAGTGGAAATACACACAGAAGAAATGTTGTGCAAATTATCAATGGGGCTTAAAGGATGTCAGTATTTTGGTCTTAAAGGGTCTGCAGGCTTACACCCAATTTGTACTTTTTACATCCATGAGGGATACATTTTGCCATCTACCGATGTTCATTAGGGTCCACATGGAGCCCAGTTTCCACTGAGCAACATGTGTGATCTTGTCTGTGTATGCAGCCACCCGCTGTACTATAAACAGAACTGAATGCACTCCCACTGTCCGTCTCTGTACTATTTTGGACTGTATCTGGCCCTTAAATGGTGCCCCATGCAAATAATCCTGTTCAAGAATAAGCAAATGAAGATGAGCTTTAGAGTGTGGAAAAATCTCTGTTGTCATGATGAAACTCACAGATCTGTCTTTGTCACACTTCTAGGTGCGACAGGCTGCCTTTCAGTCTCTGGGGCGTTTTATCTCCACCTTTGCCAATCCCTCCAGCACAGGCCTACACTTCAGAGAGGACGGTGCCCTACTAGAGGTCCCCAGATGTACATTGGACAGGTAAGACCACCTGACTTTCAACACCACTGGAACAACTAACATTTATTTACAGCTATTGGCTTACATTGATGAGTCATTTGCCTCTTTTCGGTTTCTCCAATCATCAAAGAAATTGTATCTTAGTAGGACAAGTTTGACAGAAGTTGTGTTGTTTTTTATGTGAACTCAATATTTATATAATCAGTACTTTATAACAATATACTTTGACACTACACCAATATGAGATAGATAGATAGTTAGTTAGTTAGTTAGTTAGTTAGTTAGTTTATGTATCCAGAGGGAAATTCAAGGTTTTACTGGCACAAACACAGTTTACATTTTTGGGAAATAAAAGTAAAGAATTGTATTTAATGTCTTTTCTCTGAATACTTTTTACCTAGAAAGTTACTTGTTTTTGAAATGTAACAAGGGTGAGAGTATTTTGTTTTAGATAGAAGGGTTTACCTGAGTATTCCTCTACATTGCCTATATTCCCATAAATGTTTCTACTCTCATTTCAGCGACTGCTCCCTAAACTCTCTGAACTGCTCGGACATTAGTGGGTGCCACGCAGAACGAACCATCGCACACACACCTCCCAATCAGGATGGCCGTGCCACACCGTCCCCAGAGCACGTGTCGACAACTGACAGTGAGGAAATGCACAGCTTAGACGACAACCACACTTCTGTTCCCCGAGAGATGCGCGGCGGCTTCACCCACACAGTATCAAACAGCAACGCCAGCCCTACAACTACAAACAACGCTAAGAACACAAAAGAAACAGAGCACACAGACGAGAACTTTAATTCTTTCAACTACTGGAGATCTCCTTTACCGGACATCAGTGGGGAACTGGAGATGCTAAATTGTCAAACATCAGTGGGAGTGTTAGAGAAGGACGAAAAGGAGGAGGAGGAGGAACCTGAAGGTAATTGTCCTGATTCCAAGTCCAACCCTGGCAAAGCTACCAGCGACCAGATCCAGAAGGTCTTGGACTGTTTGCAACCGCACATGGATGACCCCGATGTGCAAGGTGGGTATACAGATAGAACCAGAATATGTATGGTTAGCTGTAGAATTTGGCAGTGCGTTGTAGATTGAGCTGTGTATGTGAATTTACCTCCAGCTCAAGTCCAGGTGTTGTCAGCTGCTCTGAAGGCAGCTCAGCTTGACAGCCCAGCAGACGACAGCCCGGCTGAACCCGAGCCAGAAGAAGAGCCTGAGAACAACAGCGACAGCCCAACTGTGGAGACGAAATCTGTGGAGGTGCAGTCAGAGAGTGAAGAGAGTCCCACAGAAGAGGAGCAACCGATGGAAACTCCCCCAGCCTCAGAGTCGAGCCCTGTCCAGGAGCAAGGAGACGAAGAGACGCAGACGGATCCCCTGGAGGACCAGGAGGACCAGGAAGAGTCTCCTCCTGACTCCCCTGTTCTAGTATGAAACATTTCAGATATTTGCATGTGTTAAGTCAGTTGCTATATATGGCTGAACAGTTATAGTAACTACACGTACTGGACTTCAGCTGGATTTCTACTTAATGAAAGGAGTTCTGCAACTATTGCAGAGCTCCCATTAGGTCCCCATGGGTTTTGATTCATAGCTTAGGATCAGATTTCTTTTCTTTAAGAGATGAACAGTAAAAGCAAATCTAATTTATCAGGACTGTGTGGGTGTGTTATGAAGTAATTTGATTGATAATGGGCTCTGGCAACACAAGCCAACAACCCCCACGACTGTCATCAGATTTTGATTTGGATCCTAATCCTGATTAGTTCACTGGCATTGTATGACATCAACTTTTTTCTACCTGACCCCACCCACCTCAAACCAGTGGGGGAAAAAAAGAGAGGACAAGAAAACAAGATCTCTTGAGAGATAACTAAACCTGTTGTTATTTTGGCTGAAAGTTATGTGTTCATGTAAGACCCCATTAGTCTGAGTAAGAAGCTGATTTACTTGGTAATGTAGAGCGATCTTTGGCAGCGAGCAGGAGTTTGCAGAGATGACTGTGCTAGAAAACTTTTATTACTCATTACTCTTCAACATTGTTTGTTGTCTTAACTCTCATCTGTCTCCACCGGGACCTGAAACTTCTAGGAGAAAGTACAAGCTGACCAGTCAGTTCTTGTGGTATCATTGTTATATATTTTTTTAGGAGTCATCTGTAGCGTAACCTGTACCCATAGCTATACTGTAACCCCCTAAACCCGTAGGTAGAAATCCAGCTTTAGGTCATTCAGAAGGGTGACATGAAATGCACGCGTAGTATACTCGTTCCTTAATGGTGTGTGTGGATTTCTATGTTCCTCAGGAGTCTGAACTAATTGAGAGTGTGGAGGAGGAGGGAAAGGAAGACTCTGCTCACAGCCCAGGGCCTGAGGATAAGCCCAAGATCCAGGTCAGTCAGCACTTCTATCATACATCTTGGAAGTATTGATCAGAACCTTACACTTTGTATTAATTGGCACGAGCATGGATTACTGTAAATACTTTCTCCCTGTGCATCGCCATTCCTCCTTCATCATCAAAAACTCTTTTAATCTCTTGCTCCGTTTCCAGAATGTCATCCCCCAGCAGCTGTTGGATCAGTACCTCTCTATGACGGACCCGGCCCGGGCCCAGACGGTGGATACAGAAATAGCCAAACACTGTGCCTTCAGCCTGCCGGGGGTAGCGCTCACTTTGGGACGACAGAACTGGCACTGCCTCAAGGACACGTATGAAACCCTCGCTACTGATGTGCAGGTAAGCAGAGAAATGTGAAATTATGAGGGTAATGTGGGATTAAATGAGTGATGAACCACACTCTGGGTGGATGTAAAGCTTTATTTTAGCTCAAGGACAAGTTTGTTGGAGATTATTGTCCTTGAAATGTTTTTTTGCTATGTAGTCATAACAAAAAACTGAACTTGTATACTGGTTTAGAAGTTGGTTATGTTGAAGTAGGCCGCTTAATAGTGTTGTAGTAATGGGATATTTTGTTGGAAAGTCAAAGCCAAAATATCAATGATAAACAGACTGCAGAGGTTTATGCTGGATCCTGTGATGTATTATAGATAATCATGTTTTTTAACAATTAACGTTGGGTCCTTAAAGAAGTAAATAGCATTTTGAATGGATAGTGATTAAGATCAGGTCAGTTTTTACCCCTTTTGTTGTTTTTTTTTTAGGTTTAAGTAAATTAATTTTGCCCTAAAAATCTGCCACAAAGTTGTTCTTTGTGATTGCTTGATTGAATTACTCAAATTCAAATAAGCTTTATTGGCACATGGTTGCCAAAGCAAAATTTTATTTTATTGAATAATTACATTTAACACAAGAAAACCAAATAATCACAAAATAACAGATTAAACAGTTTAAATGATACAATCCATCACAACATAAATACACAAACACAGAATGATTGAACAAAGTAGAGTGAATGAGGGGATTTATGTGTTTTCTCTTTGGTTGTGTGTAGAATATACATTTTACATTTTGTTGCCAAGGCAGCTATTTTGCTCCTTTTTCTTCCAACATGTAGGAAGTGTACTCTTATTGGACATATGATGCTGGCTTTGTGAAGACATAAATCTCATATACTGCATGCACTCATTGAGGAAGGGAAGCTCTGTCTCATAGATCACAGTGAGACCACAACCTGTCTTCTGTTGGCAGCCATGTTTCTCTGCGTCTACCTGTGGTCTGAACATCATCGATGAGTGCTGACGCGGGGGCGAGCGTGTAGCTGCATTTTAGGGCTAAATAACCACTGAGCTTGTGTTGTGTTGTTGGTAATCTTATAGGTCAGGTCAATTCTGTATATTCTGTATATTATTTGGTTAGTTATTTAATATTGATTATCTGCCGATCCAAAGTCCTTCTTCTTTTAGATAATACAGTGCACAGTGAACACTTTCAAGCTATTGAAATCAATCCAATGTATATGCTTGACACTTTAATAACTCTGCACTGCATTAAGAAACAAAATCCCTACATTGAAGCTATTCCTCAATGTTTTGTTTTATTTTTCAGTACAAAATAATAAACCCTCTGTAATCTTTGTCTGGAGGGAGTTTCTCTGTTCAGTGTTTGGTGCTTTAGTGCAGCCTTTGCCCGAGTTACCTTTTAATGATCTGTTTTGATGAGTGTTTATTTCCGCCGTGTCTACATCTCTTGCACGGATTACGTTCATTAATTACTCTTAATGGCTTTTTATTCGCTGGGCTTTTGTAGCACTTGCAGTGGCGTGTTGAGTGTGGTTGTGTCAGGTCTCTACTGCTCGCACAGGCAGCCCCACCCAGGATGAAACTCTGCAGCAGGCTCCTGCTCTCTCACACACACACACACACACACACACACACACACACACACACACACACACACACACACACACACACACACACACACACACACACACACACACACACACAGAGCAGACTGGAGGAAAGAAACAGCCAGAAAGTTGACAATGGCTACACCATGCATGAAAGCTTTGAGAGTAAATCAACTGTATGACAGCTGATGAAAACAAAAAGATCGGATCAGATAAATAAAGCTCAACATGTTGCAACATCTGTTAAAAAATGTCTTGATCGGTGCCGATACCAATCGTTAAGATCGTATCAGGACTTACCTAGCTGGATTCTTTGTGACAGTTTGATGTTGTCCTGAGTCTCAGCTGACTGAGTGGACTGTTTCTGTGTGTGTCTGGACTTTTATAGCTAGGTAGTGAAGTGAGTGAGGGACACTAGAACCCCATTCACAACCACATGCATGAGGATTTTTATTTTTTTGGTATTGTCCTCTGTTTGACCTATGTACCATAGCACTTGTTGTACAAATGAGTTTGTTGAGGGTGTGAGAAAGAAAGGGAGGGTGAAGAGGGGCAGTGTTGCTTCACTTCACAGCAGAGACAGTCTGACAGCAGCACTCATCCAGGCTGATGTAGATTATTTTCATGAATGTGTCTGTTAGCATGACAACGTTGCACTGTACAACTGTGGATTCAGACCGGTTGCTGGAGGGTGAAAGTTCAGATAGTGTGCTGCAGGAATGAGTCCTAAAACCTTAAGCCGAGTTAGTGTTTCAGCGCTTCCGATTCCCTCGCCTCGAGTATTCTGAAGGGTTTTTGGTTAGACGGTTGACATGAAGAATGTGGTTAACACAAGCATGAGCAAGAGGTTTTCACCTTTTGTTCTATGACACAAAATATGTCAGTAAATACCCCCACCTGTGAATTTAGTCTACAGAGGATGTTAGTGACATTAGACATCAGCATGCCAGACGTGTAGACTAGTCGACCTTTACAGCCTCGTTGTCTTTATACTCGCACTCCGCAAACTAACACTATTGTTGAATTACAAGTTGGAAGTCAAGTGGTGGTGATGTTGACGTCATGAAACTGTGGTGTCGTTTGTTTAAATCCTAATGTTAGCTTTTTAAGTCTGGTGATTCTGGTTTTACGCTTCAAGATTATCTTGCTGAACAAAATGTACCATAAACCTTTGTTTGACACAGAGCTTATTTTCTGCATTAAGCTAAAATCAAATGAAAAAATCCATTCAAAAAGCTTTTTGTTGAAGGAATGAGGGCTAACTTCTGGTTTGACGTCACTGCAGGCTTCTGGTTTCATTTGCTTTCATTTTTTTGTTTACAATTTACCTGAATTAACAAAAAATTTATGTTTAAAAAAAATAAATAAAAAAGTGTTGTAATCTTTTTGTGTTTCTTTTCCTCCTACCTTCACACTCCCAGTGGAAGGTACGGCGTACGCTGGCTTTCTCCATCCATGAACTGGCAGTTATTCTGGGAGACCAGCTGACAGCAGCTGATCTGGTGCCCATCTTCAACGGTTTCCTCAAAGACCTGGACGAGGTCCGCATCGGCGTGCTCAAACACCTCTACGACTTCCTCAAGGTGAGATTATAGATTTATATACCAACCAACCAACCAAGCATTACAGAGCAAGAAGCTAGTTCAGTTTTGGATATTTCAGCAAAACTTTTGTGATAGATTACAATAAAGGACTCAGTTGCAGCTCCGGTACGCTTTGTTTTGCAGCAGTTTTGTTTCTCAGTTAAAGAAAATAAATCGGTTAGATTGATTGCGTTACAAGTATTACTAAATAACTAAGCTGGGTCTTGTGTGTCTTGATGTTGCAGCTGCTGCATGCAGACAAGAGGAGAGAATATCTGTACCAACTGCAGGAGTTCATGGTGACGGACAACAGTCGCAACTGGAGATTCAGATATGAGCTGGCAGAGTAAGTCTCCTTTTGCTCTTGCAGTTGGGAAATAATTACATTGACATTTTAAAGCCTTTCATTTCGTGTTGATTCCGGCAGCCCCTGTGGACTGCAGCAGTTGTGTTTCCACAGCCTCATTTAAGTGATTTCCCGGGGAAGCTGACCCAGTGGCAGTCATTAAGATAAAATGTATATATAAATCTTCTCGCTGATGGTTGTGTTTGTTTATTTAGGTAATATAGAGGTATCGGTATAAAGTGAGACTGTTTCATAACTAGTTAAAAACTCCTTGTAGTATGCTTTAAGTAACTCTTTTATCCAGACTGACAGAGTCTGGTTCATAGACTGAATTCTGCTCTTATAACACTGTATGTGGGTTAGAGTTATTTCTCCACTTAATTTACTGTCACTATCACCAAAAAGGTTAATATCATAATTCCAATTCACCTCATTTAATTTTAGCTGTTTATATTTACTGTGTTGTACTAATATTTACGGAAACATTTGCCTGATTGAAGTGTCCTCTCTCTATCTCTATCTCTATCTCTCTGTCCCCCTCCAGGCAGTTAATCTTGATCATAGAGTTGTACAGCCACTACGACGTGTATGACTACCTCAGGCAGATAGCGCTCACTCTCTGCTCTGACAAAGTCTCAGAGGTCAGGTGGATCTCCTACAAACTGGTGAGTGTATAGTATTAAAAGTGGGCTTATTTGCTGGTGGAGGGAACATCTGGAGAGGAAATGATTGGCAACAAAGCGAGGGTTGATTATTTTTTGTAAGAATCTGGCGTTACAAAATGTATCACAGGCATTACGATGTGTTTTTTTTTATATAGAATTTTAACTGTGACGGATGGTTAGGTAAGCAAAAACACTGGAACATCTAAAACCAGTTTCACTGATGGATGATATTCAGTTTTGTGTTTGTGTGATAAAGTCCTGACTGATGGTTGTATTTGATCATCTTATCTGGCCTGTAAGGAGACTAGTTATGTAGCCACTTAGAGGGTATTTGTACACCTGCTAAGTTTGAAATAGATCCAGAGTTTGGTAAATCCTCTTATCCTCTTCCCTTTCTTGCCAAGAAAAGCTCATTAATTAACACGTGATATGGTAAGACTCCAGGAAGTTACCACGTCCCAGCAAGGAGTGGTGTGGCACTAAACCGACAGCAACTAATCATCTATTCAGCTCATATTCTGTTATTCTGTTATTGGACTTCCTCAACTCCAGTGGCCAATGTCTGTCTCTGAACTTAATACACATTTTTACACTGTAACTGTAGTTTAAAACATTTTTTTGTCATCACCTCTTGTGTTCTCAGGTTGTAGAGATCCTCCAGAAGCTGTATTCATGTGGGGCTGATGATCTGGGCCTGAACTTCATCAACGAGCTCACTGTCAGGTTCTGCCACTGTCCTAAGTGGGTGGGTCGGCAGGCCTTTGCCTTCATCTGCCAGGTCTGTAGTGCTTATCTCACATTACTTGGCACGAAATGGTGAAACATCAGCTTGTGCATTGTCTCTCTACCTGTTCTTCAAGTCCAGAGATAGCTGGGTACCTTCTTTGATGGCTTATCTGATTATTCTCCGAGCTGCTGTTGACAGAAATGAAATAGAAAATTAAATATTCTCTTGAGCGAAAGTGCAGAGCAAGTTTTAACCCCATTTATGGTCCTTGGAACTTTTCTTTTTAATTTCTCACTAAAAACATTTTAAGGATTAAAACTATCAAGTTAAAATGTTATTTTCTTAAGAGTGATGCGACATAATGCTATCGTACAGTTTTGCCAGATGGATACTGAGAAGTTTATCTAATGTTCATGTTAGACAACCTGAGGACAGATATGAATGTGACTAACTCCAGCAATGTGTTACAGTAATACTGTAGTGGAAAACTATTTGTTCATCAGCCTGTTTGTCTGCTTCCCTGTCTGATTACATGATTCTGATCTGTTGTGCTGGGTCAGAGGTTCAGCCTGACAAAACCCTCTTAACTTCTTTCTTCTGGAGTTTGTCTAGCTGTCATTTTAACGCCAGCCTGTCTGTGTGTTTTAACGTTTTCTTGTATTTTCCGTAGGCCGTAGTGGAGGAGGACTGCATGCCCATGGAGCAGTTCAGCCAGCACCTCTTGCCCAGCCTGCTCAGCCTCTCCTCAGACCCTGTGGCCAATGTCCGCGTACTGGTAGCCAAGGCTCTACGGCAGAGTGTCATGGAGAAAGGTAAACTGCAAACAAACTAAATGATGGATGCTGTCTTTGAACAGTAAGGATGATGTTTAGATTACACAAACCACTTTACTTTAACTGAGTCTTGTGTTTTGTGTACAGCATACTTCAAGGACCCTGGCTGTGCCTACTCTGACGAGCTGGAAGAGACTGTGATGGCTCTGCAGTCCGACAAGGACCGGGACGTCCGCTTCTTTGCCAGCCTGGACCCCAATAAAGGCTTGATGGACACGGCTCCCTTGATTTAGCCCCAGCTCCTGAGTCCCATTACAGCCCACCTGCCTGTCTATCTACCTGTCTGACTGATGCACAGTCAGCGTAACCTGCAACACCAGCACCTGACCAGATCCCCCAACCACTCGCCTGCTGGGCAGACCTGCACCAACGACCACTTGAGAAATATGTCAGATGTTCAGATAACAGTATAAAAAATGTGAGCATGCTCAAACAACACGACCCAGTCTCTGGTTGGGCACTACAATAGCGCACATCGCATTCACAAAACACAAAATGCATACTTTCTCAGAGTTTTCAGAAAATGAGCAGGACTCAGAGGATAGCTGCACCATTTTGTGGGAGCTGCCACATTTACGCCTGAACTTTTCCCCGCCCTGCTCCACACTAACATTGACTCAATCCTTCCCAAATCACAGACTTGTAAAACTACGACGGGCTCTCTCTCCAAAGCTAACTGTAAGCTTGATATTAAATTGCTGAATTGATTTTTTTTTTTTTTTTTTCTTAATGCTTCTTTTTGTGGATTTCTTAACGAACAAGCAGGCGAGGCCTGCCTGACTCTGACGTGTGCACTAACTCAGGGGGACTCATCTAAACCTAAACAGCATTATTAGCTTACATGAGAAGCAGCAGCTCCTGGATCCCTGGTGAAAAACCTCCAGCTGTCTGAGCAACAGACCAGCCAAACCAAGTAGCTCTGCTGGTGTCTCTCGCCTCATTTCATCCTAAATGCCTCCATTGTCTCAGAGACCCTTTTTTTTGTCTTCTGAGATGTCCTCTGGGTTATTGTCTGTTTCCCTTCTACCTTCTCTTACTCACTCATTTTTCTCTGCATTTCTCCACCTGGTCGTCATGGGCCGAGGAAACCACTACTACTGCACAGAAGGAACAGTGATTCTGCCACTCAGCGTAACTCTTGATTAAAACCATATCTTGACGTTTTGAAAGAACACCTAAATAAACTGTCTGCTCCCCTCCCCTCCCCCCTGTGTCTGTTTACCAAAAAATGTGACACAATGCGTCTCCCGAACGGCAGGAGACTAATGAAATACCTCTGTGTGGACATTAGTGGCCAGTGTGTCGTACATGTAGAGGGACATCCGCGGTTCGAACAGGCTCTGAATGTCCTCGATGGGTGATTCTTTTTGAGCAATGTTTTATTAAAACATCTTAACAAGGGCTCATGATGAAGTGACACAGGGTGACGTAGATCTCGTAAAGAAGAGGAAGAAAGCAAGCACACTGTTGGAATATGCATGTCCCCCACCCTACACCCCACCGCCCCCTGTGTATAATCTATTCCAAGTTCCTTAAGGTTGACTTCCTGATATTGAATTATGTGACCATGGTAGCTTTCAGTGGATCTGACTGACCAGTTGTACAGTAGGATATAGGAATGGCTGTGTTAGGAAACTGAAAGAGAGCTGATCTTTATTTCCCTGTCTTGGTGGAATGATTTAAAAGTATGAGGTTTCTCAAAAACTCTTTTGTACAGCTTAAACCTGTGGAAAACAGTATGTGTTCATGGAACCGAGGCCAGTTTAGTCGGGTTTTCACCCATCGAGATGTGTGTGTGCGTGTGAATATTGGGAGCAGCCACCAAGTCACTTTTTTTGTAGTCTTTCAAGCTCGTTGGTTTTCCTCTGTTGTAAATGGTAACCCTCCCTCCCCCCCAAATTTTTTTTTTTTTTGAACATAGACATAACTTGAGAACTTAAGCTGATTGTGGTGTGTGCTGTGCATCTCAAGTCTTTCTTCCTTCGAAAGGAGAGCTCACTGCGGTAATGGCGGTGTCTACTCATCTCGTCTGTCTGCAATTTGTGTCCATCTCATTTTTTATGTAGTAGAACAGTTAATATATACATTTTATGAAAATTATTTTTCTTTTCAATTATGCACCACTGTTCAAAGATTTTATATCCTAACTTTACAAAATTTACAACCTTTGTAATATTCAATGGTTTCTTTTAAAAAGACATTTTATGTAATGTTATTTTTAGTATTCTGTAATTAAAATGATGAAAATTAATATGTTGTGCTTATGTTTTGTAGTTTTGAGTTATTGACCACTGTGGTTCAGTCGGTTCTGATACAGAAGGAAGTAGCTGATTGATAATGTAAAACACTTTATTATTTAATCTGCACAGTAATGAAAATAGAGATGTTCTGATACAGTATTTTCCTGATTCTAAATCCGATACGGAGTACTGATCCTATAAATGTGCATTAAAAATAGATATAGATATAGACATACATTATTTTTTTATTATACTACTAGGCCCGTATGATTGCTGTCAAAAAAAGGTGAACAGGACTCTGCTGGGAACCAACAGGGTTATGTTTTGGGGCTAATAAATTATGTGGTATCAGATCGTTGCACAGACACGAGTACTCGCCGATATCCGATACCGAATTCTAGGTGGTATCGGAGGAATTCCCGGTACTGGTGACGGTATTTGAACAACCCAAATACAAAGTAAAAAGTCCGTTAGTACAGCTGGGTTATCTCTGGCAAACATTTTAATTAATAAAACACATCAGCACTGAGGCAGATCGTCTAGTAAACACATGCTATGTATTTTAAAGGTTTTGTCTACAGCCCCCAGTTTTCCTTTCTACTAGAGCTGCAACAATTGGTCTAACTGGCAATAATTTTAAAAATCGATTTAAATGTTTCAGGAAAAAAACATTTTTGTTGCAGCTTCTCTGGTTTGAGGATTTAAAGTTATAAATTTATATAATTTGCAAATATCTTTGTGTTTGGATTTAAGTGACGCTGACACTGCAGGCTCTGAGAAACAGTAAAAGACAGTTTTCACTGTTTACTGATGTTTTACAGAAAGTAATCAGCAGATGAATCATGAATGGAAATAATTAGTTGCAGCCCTAATGGTTATAAATAGATTAATCTGCCAGTTCCCCCAGTCATCAATCAACAGTGTGGTCAACAAAATGTCAATCACCAGTTTCCAGAGCCCAATGAGACGTCTTCTTCAGATGGGTTGTTTTGTCTGACCAAGAACAAAAAACCCAGTTTACTTTCATTTAAGACAAAGATAAACACACATATGAGTCCATTTTGGCATGCTTGCTTTAAAAAGTGACTTAAAAAGACAAACTGTAATAACCACAGCTGATTAATGTCGATCCACTAATCAGCTCAACCTTTCTCCCATTCCTCTCTCTGGTTTCACTGGGATTGTCTTCCCTGATCAAGTCCCTGCAGCTCCAGTGCAGCAGATGAAACCTCTCCTCCCTCAGTGTCCTCTCCTTCTGAAGAGAAGCAGCTTACGGTCCCACGAGGTGCTGCCGAAGCTCTGGATGAGCTCCATGCCACAGTGTGTCTCCAGGTGCTCCCTGGCATGTTCTGCTATGTCCCCGCGGATCTTCAGGCCCTTGAAGTGGTCAAAGTCCGAGCGGCCCAGCTTCCTCAGCCGCCGGGCTGCGGAGCGGTAGCACTTCCAGGGCTGCGCCTCCAGCAGGAGGTGCTGGCTGATGGAGGCCAGGTGAGAGAGCAGCTGCAGCAGCCCGGTATCTCCGTGGTTCAGGTGGACCCACATGGTGACAGCCAGGCACAGGCACAGGTGGAAGCGGGAGCAGCCGTGCTGGTCGAGGTAATCCCGCAGCCGGCCGGTGTCTGCGGTGATGTCCAGAGGGATGAAGGAGATGCTGCTGGGCAGAGGGTTGGTCTGCTGAGCCCGCTGAATGAGGATCTCATCCAAGTCAAATCCCAGGAGCTTGACCTTCCTCCTTCCTGACTCTTCTTCACACACAGGCTCCTGCACCAGATGCTTGTAAAAGGCGACACTCAGTTCCTGCCACTCACAGAGGGGAGGGGAGAGAGGGCAGCTTTCATTACAAAAAGAGAAAAAAAACTGAGGTATGTGGACAGATATTGTTCAAACTTTACTTCATTTAAAAATGTGTGTGTCATGCTGGATCAGCAAATGCATCATGGGAGAGTGTGTATGCAAAAGACAGAGGTATGACTTCAAGTTAGTGTGTGGTAAACATTAAATGAACTTAAAGGGGACGTTTAACAGCAATATGGAGAACAATCAGACTGTTAGTTTCATTGTGAGTACCCCGGAGTTACAGCCCGCGTCCAGGATCAGGGTGGTCGTCGGACCGTCGCTGGAACTTAAGTCCTGCAGCAGTGTGGCGGGAATCAGACTCAGACGGTTCTCCGGAGGGTTGAAGGTGTAATAGTTGATAAAGTTGCCGTACGGAGCGGCTCCTGGATCATTTGTTCCGCCGGCAGCATCGGCGCTTATCGGACAGGTTGCCATTGTATTGTGTCCGTCCCCAAAACATGTCCGTGTGGAAAAACATGGGCCGCAGTCACATAATATTCTTCGATGGTTTGTCGGTTTAGATAATGAGGATTCTTTTATTTCATGTATTATGTTTTTAATTCAGTTTGAAAAACGGAGATTGAGAGGTAGATATTTTAATGACCTCATTATGCTAGAGATAACATTAAAAAAAAATTATAACTTAACATTATATGTTTTTTTTTCTTTTTTTTACTGCCACCAATGTTAAAAATATCCACCAGTAACCACGGTAACCAGGTAGTGACGACACAATGCGGCTGCAGTTCAACGGTTAGTTAGCGGTTTAACGGTTAGTTAGCCGTTTAACGGTTCAGGTTTCTCAATAAAAACAACTTTATTCAATTAATTACTCGCAAAAGTTCAACATACTTCTTTAATATATTATCAGCAACATATATTGAGTGTCAAAAGTAATACATATGATTACTATTATTGATACATTCATATGTAACTGTGTCCACTCTCGGTGCTTTTACCTGTTAACGGTGCCTCGTATTTTACGTTTTCTGTGCAAACATATTTAAAAGTTAAAGTAACGGAAGCTGTCAGATAAATGTAGCAGAGAAAGAAAGGACACTAAATTATTAAACGTAATGTGGAGTAAAAGTGCTACAAAGCTTAATCAAATGAATTAGTAGTTAGTTAGTTAGTTCACGTTAAGTAGTTTAATTTAGGGCCAGATCCAGGAACGACCGTTAGCTTACTCTCAACGGCGATTAACGGTTTTTAGTTAGCTACATTAGCCGCTTGACACCATTAAAATGCAGCTAACTGATCTAACTAATATAACGTTAATATAATATATAGTATCTAACAATACTCTGAACCACAGTGTGAGGACAGCAGTGTTTGTTTACTCCGGGTCTGTAGGTGGCTCTCTGCAACTGGGCTCGCAGTTTTGTCAGAAGCAGCGGAAAAAAAAGTCCCCTCCGGCTTCCCGTACCTTACGAAAGCGAAGGTTAACGTTATAGTTAGCTTGCGTGCTAACTTCGCCTCCTGGCGTGCTGACATTGAGGACAACAACGATCATCTGTGTTTGCTTTTTAAAACAAAAAGGTGAGAAAATAAAGACACGTATTCGCTCCGAGAGGAGACAAAAGCTCGAGTTAAACTCGTTTAAGTTTATAAAAAGGTGTTTAAACTGCTAACTTGTGCTGAACTTGGTGCACTGCTGATCCACTGATGCTAGCTTTTAGCAACACAAGGGACACAATTATTATTTTATCTTGTTTAGAGAGATTGCTTAAAGTTTATAGACATTAAATCAGACTGAGAGTTTAATAGTGCTTCCCATCAGCAGTGAGTATATCTGTGTGATCTGTTATCAGTCACAGATCCTCATCAGAAAGTCATTGTTTGAATTATATGTGTTTATTGTGGGGAAATATGTGGACTTTTCTTACCTGTATGTATGGTATTTACTCAGATTTCTACTATAATTAATGCAACATTCACTTGAGTAAACGTACATATTTGTCATCAGTAAAACACACTTTTAATTAATTAAATAAAATGACTGCATATTGTTGGATTATAATAACTGATGCATACATTTGTAAGAAACGTTTCAGTACTGTATCTGGTTGCTTGAACTACTTTCTACAGTATGTTAGTAGTTAGTTTATATTCTTACTATAAGCTCTGCATGTGAAATATGAATTTATAAATCCATCACCACAGCTTTCAGATAAATAACAGAAGTAGAAGGTAGTATAAAATGCATTAAATCCTTTTTAAACTTATAATATCCGTGGTCCATGTGGATGAAATCCTCTCTATCATGGTATCTATAATTCTATAATCCAATATTAATCTGTTTCAGTATGGTAAACATTGCTTTGAAATCATATGAGAAGCTGTTAATGATCAAAATATCTCTGGGTTAATCATGCAAAGTGACCACAATTAATTAAACTGTGTTGGAAATACTCAAAATATTGTAACTGTCCACCCCTGTAGTACTCGAGTACACATAACTGGTTCCTCTCCTCCACTGCTGCACAGTATATTGCTGCTGAACCTGCTCTGACTTCCTGTTCCTGGTTCCTTCAGGATCGTCATCATGGTGTCTGGAAAGCGTCTGGCTGACATCGGCTACAAGGCTTTCTCCACCTCGATGATGCTGCTGACAGCCTACGGAGGCTACCTGTGCGCGATCCGAGCTTACCGCTTCATGGAGAAGCAAAAACAGCTGAAAGTGGCAGCAGAAAACCAGGATCCTGAAGTCATCAAAGACTGACGTCAGATGTCTTTTTGCACAGATGTGGACTTTTCCCCCAATTCCTCCTTCCTTTTTTTTTTTTTTTTTGTGTCCATTGCTTAAATCATGAAGATGTTAATTCTTCTCAGGACGTTTGTGTGAATTCATTAAAGATATTGTTCCCTCGAAAGGAAGATGTTTAAAAAAACAAACAAACACCACACTAAGCAAATTACCCAAGATATATTTGCATCAGTGGCTTATGTAAAAATCCATGTTGTGAATGACACTGTTTCAGGAGTGGAGATGGCTGTAATTGTTTGTTTGTATTGTTATTATTAAATGCCTTTAACCACACAGGGCAGCGTGTAGTGTTTCTTAAACAGGACGGCGACGAGACAGACGTGTTTCAAGAGCAGAATATATTTTGGAAATGCATTTTTTTTTAACAAGGCACTCAAATGAGAACTTTGATACCAGACATTTAGTATAGTCCTCATACCTGGATTCGTCTATAGGCAGTGACGTCAAACTATTTCATAAACATTTGGTCTCAGAAGAAGTAGTAGAAAAAACAAACAGTGAAAACAGAAATAAGTCACAAACAATGAGGTTAAAAAAGGTAAATCCACAATAAATCACAGAGTAGAAACGGCTGCCGTTCAGACTTTTAAGTGTCGTACGGTCACACACATAAAGCAGGTAGCTGATAAAACCACAACTATAACAATACAGTTATTTATATCTATAATACCTGCCATCACATCATTGATTTAATTTTAAACCATCAGAGAGTGTGTCAGCGTTTTCTGCCCTTTGTGGTCCAGTGTGATTTACCCTTTAAAACACAAACAATCAAGTTCATCTGACCATTAAAACTGGGAGAGAACATTGAAACCCACCAACATCTGGCAGCAAATAAATCCCATCATTAAAAAAAAAATAAAATAAGGCTTACGCAAAATCACTTCAACTGATTTCCACATCATTTCAGCTCTTGTATGTCACCTCTTGAGTTGTGTCGTACATGTCATTACAGGGCTCGTCAAAGCAGATGTCAGTGTCTGTGTATCCACCATCAGTCCACCGACGTATGAATCTGTGCTCACTCACTCTCAGTGTGATCGCAGACTGTGTTTGTGTGTGTGTGTGTGTGTGTGTGTGTGTGTGTGTGTGGGGGAGCCTTGCATGTCGAAGGACTGTCACAGGACAAACAGAGCTGTTGGGAGACGTTGTGAGGGATGAACTGCAGGGGGCTCCCGGCTTCAGGCTCCATGTCACCAGCTGCTGTGGTTCTGCACTCGGGCTTTAGCAGCAGCGCAGTGGCCATTAGTGCCGTTTTCTCCTTTGGGATGGTGGGAAGGCTTGAGGCCTTCTGTGGGCGTGTCGGGCTCATCGTCTGAGCTGCTCTCAATGTCGCTGCGGACGTCGTTGCACACCTAGGAGGCAGACGGAGGAGGAAAACGTCAATAAGCTCTTGCAAGATATTATTATTTTAACATCAAATAACACACACTAAATGAATAATGTCCAACTCTGAAGTAACTTCATCACCATTACATTATGTTTTGTTGTCACTTTTTTAACTCTGTCTTAAAGGTCCAGTGTGTAACATTTAGGAGGATCTATTGGGGCAGAAAAGGCAGGTATGTTTTTATTAGTGTATAATGACCTGAATTATTACTTCTTTTGATGGATGGACGGCAAGATTATTTGGCATTTTTGGAGCGCTATTATTTCCAGAATGTTTTTTTTAAGCATGTGTTAAAATGCTGAAAGACCTTTTTTTATAGTTGACAAATTGCTTTGCAGCAGCGTCCACAGTTATTTTCATATAAAGTACAAGTTTAAGTCTTATTCTTCTCTCTGTGTGGTTCACCTTTGCCAGTTGGTGATACACTGTAATATACTATCTGGAGCCAGTCCTATGGTAATATGTTGCCTAAATAGCTTCAGGAGGTGACTTTATCTTTGTCAGTCTTTGTTTTGGTTGGGATGATCTTCTATTTGTAGCCACAGTTCATGGTTTAGTCCAGTGGTTCCCAACCTGGGGGTCGACGGACGTACAGCGAGTTGCAACACGAATCTGGTGGGTCACAAGATGATTGCCCAAATAGACGACAATAAGACTGTTTTTCTGACTTTGATTTGCTTTGTTCTTGTGAAATACTATAGTATCACCCGTTTAAGGCTCTACAAAATGAGACAGTGTGAGCACAGAGTATTAAGTCATTCTTTAATTGAATAACAGCCAATCCCCTAAACATAAAGCAAGTATTCAAATTATAGGTCAAGAATCAGATCGCTGCCCCTTTTTTAATTTAGTCACTGTACAAAGAATAATGCAGAATAAAAGCATTGAACCTGTGGTGTGCCAGGATTTTATAACTGAACTATGACCAGGATGCACACTTTTTATTTCTCTGACTGGGTGGAAATGCCATAAACATCACAGATGACGAACAAAGACACTAAAACGTGAGTCTTACAGGTGAAACACGAGAGGCTCTGCAGGTGATCATCCTGATCCAGGTAAAGCGTCACATTGAACTGCTCACAGCGTACAGAAACGCAACAGATGACGAGCGGCTGCAGGGAGATATTGCTTTATATTGAGGGGTCATAAGCGAAAAGGGCTGGGAATCACTAGGTATGTATTTTATAGTGCAGTTAATTCGGTTTGCCACTGTTGTCTAATAAAGTCCCATAAATGTCTCAAGCATCATCATAACCACAGGGTGGTGGTGCTGGACAATGTCAACATGCTCCTCCTTAATGAGAAACAGTTGGACATACCTGACATTCATGACACTATTACCACATTACTCATCGTTTACAACTCTGAATCTAAGTGTCGATCTACTGCAACTACACAGGATCCTTATGGAAATGGACAGGACAGGTGGAATTAAGATGTGTGAAAGGAATCACAACAAAGGGAAGTCAACAGAAACTTACAACCAGAGACAGAGAAGTTAAAGGTCTCAAGCGGACAAAGCAAACGGAGAGAAGCGAGAGAGTGGTTCGAGAAGGGCTCATTGGACAAAGACAGACAGAAAGACAGGATCTCCCTCTCTCATTCCAGAGGGAGAGGAAACAAACGGCGTCTGCAGAGAGAATGAGACAGAGTCAGGGACAGCTTAGAAAAAAGTGTAGAGGCAGCAAATTCATCACCAAAAGTAGAAATGGTGTTGTGTTGTACATTTCAATAAATATTCTGCTCATGGACAGATGTCTGGCTGGGACTATTTTTTTTATCTGATGTTTTTTACCCATTCATCAATCTGATCTAACTGTTATGTCTGATATATCTATCCACACACAAATCATTTAAAAAGACTTGTTATGTTCCTGCCAAAGTTTGCAGTTAATGTTTTAGGGTCAATAGGTTGGGGATATTTTTGTTAATCTTTGCTTACACAATAGTATTAAATTAGAGTTCTGAATACTATATTTTATCTAGGCCATTCTTGACGGAGTTTAAGCTACACCAAACCTCATGAAATTACACCGTGAAGTGAAACTAACAGGTGCTCATACCAGAAAAACTAAATATATCTTCTCAGAAGATGATTATTTGTATGTTATAGTAGCTGTAAAACACATTTTTAACAATAACTCTTGCGGGGATAGCTTGGATGTGTTGGGTGTCAAACCCCTCAGTACGTCATTACAGCAGGACTGCAGCAAATGAGGATTTTCATTATTGACTGATCTGCTGTCGCGAAAATAATTACTGGGTCAAGAAAATGTCAGGAAATAATGCACCCAGTACAGTTTTCTGGTGACCCCAATTGAACATATTAATCTAAATGTCTTGTTGTGTTTGACTGGTAGTCCAAAATCCATATATTTTTAATTTTCTCTCAAATAAGACGTCGAAAAGCAGCAAATCTTCACGTCTGAGAGGCTGGAATTAGTGAACGTTTGCCTTTATTCTTTAAAAAACCTGCAAATATACTGTCAAAATAGTTGGATATTAATTTTCTGTTGATCAATTTACCATTTAACAGTTATTTTCTTCATGTAATAGTTACAGCTCTACATTACAGCACTTGTACAGTACTCAGTCATCTCCTCGGTCTGTGTGGTGACCCACCTTGCCCCGCAGCATGGCTTTGATGGCTATACGGGCTATGAGGTAGGACCAGATGATATGCAGCACTTGGAGGACCAGCAGTAAGAAGTTGAAGAGCCACCAGGACGGGTACGGCCCGACTATGGCCCAGCTCTCAAACATAGTAGAGTTCAGGATCCTGGAACAGACAAATAGATATAAATGGGAAGGCACATATTTATTATGTAGTCTCTCATACACACTCATGCACACACGTAATCATTAATCCCAGCGAGCACAAAAAGTAGTCAAGCTCTACTTTAATCAAACCACCTCTCTTCTAATGAGGGCCATCATTACAGTACAGATTGCATAATTCCCATTTGGATGTCACTGGCAACCGAGCAGGGGAGTAACATAGATTGACTGTAATGTCAGGTGAGTGGTTGGTGAGGTAGTCTTCCTTTAAATCCAGGTGAGGTGTGACAGGAGGTTCCCAACAGACCCACGTCCCCCAGCAGAGGTATGGATTTCAGTCCAGGTAACTGCACCGGCCACATTAGCTTTATCACTCATCCACACCAAGACACTGAATATAGCTGCTCAGGTTACTTTCGCCAATGATAGGTTCCCTATTGTCTGCCTCTCTAGAGGTTGAGCTTCGTCATCCAGGTCCCATTCAAGGAATAGTCGCCATCCAAACAGTTCCCTTATGCCGCAACATTAACACAGATCTCTGCAGTGCTCCGTGCAAGAAGTAAAAGGATGACGAAATCCGACACCGTGGGGCGTGCTGGAAATTGCCTCATCTGATGTACAAGCTGGTGGTGGTTGCATCACTGTATAGTGTTTTCTAGTCAAGTGAGCATGTTTGGTTTCATCAGAGTACAGCGCTGACCAGTGTGACTGGATATGTGCTGCAATTACAGTCATTTAAGAAACCAAAACACAGTAGCAGTATATTGTTTTCTATGCAAGCATTTGCTTATGAAACAAAGCTTAAAGACAGTCTTAGGCACACATTTTCTAACCACAGCTCAGCCACCTTCACAGCCAAAGCTAGAATATTAGTCTTGATTTCCAGCAATAAAGATATTTCCTTTCCAGGGAAATAAGATAAAACCATTTTATTTGACTTTTATTGATTAATACTGTAATAAATAAATAATATTCATTCTGAGGTTGTAGGTGTCTCTGAGAACTCACCATATTGGATATATAACAAGTCGTGTAATGAAGAATACCACACTAAACACAATGAAGAGGAAATCACACAGGCGCTGGTACTTGGCGTAGTTGG